CTGGCCACTTGTCAGCCAGGCCACGAAGGCAGTACAAATGAATCTGTGTTTCAAGGTTTTAGTGATTGATATAATTAAAGATGAAATCACAAAAATGCCCTTCTTGCAGAAAAAAACAGGAATTATTAAAAATTCAGTGCCGGCTAAACAAATTTATACACCCATGTTTGATGGTGGCTGAAAATGAAACGCAGAAGAAATGGTTATTCGATGGTGATCTATTTGATACTGTTATCATAGTTGTGGTTTGGACCTAAAATTTGTTTCGGGAACTGTATCAGTCTAGTAATGTCTTGATAACGTTTGCAATTTTGAAGTCAAATTCAGTTTTCAAGTGTGTGCCTTCTTTTGTCAGGCAGTTTAATACATACATTTGCTTCCCAAGTCCAAGACTTTCATCCCATAGTTGACCTCAGTTGTTGCTTGTTTGGAATTTCAAAATATAATTAACCCTCTTTTATTTCCTACTTTGTCTTTTAAAAAATTAAAATGATGAAAGCAACTCCAGAAGTTGATTGATATGGGAAGGGATTCAACTTTTTTACTTACCCAAGAAACATGTTTTTTTCATCTTAAAATTTCATCTTTTCTTGTGTTTCTCCCTGCAGATCTTTGGGGAGATCGCTTGCAATATTATTTTTTGGCCATTTTGTTTAGTTAAGGTCAGGAATCTTATTGGAACAAAATCTGTACACCAAGTACATAATAATTTTTGAAAGATTTAAATGTAACAGTTCCATAACTCTAAGAGTTACAACAGATATTAAACCTCGGGACAATGTCTGTGGATGTTTACGTGTTTAGACAGACAGGTTATTAAATAATGATTTGTTTTCTAATCCCCACACTGTAATCCCAGCAACTGGGGTTAGTCTGTCAGAACACAGTGAAGGTACGGACTGTACTGGAGAGATTAAAGGCTTTAAAGCGGGATTGAGGGGTCAATTTGTCAGCATGATGTTTATCAGGGGTCTGTGTCACTCTTTGATAGTCAGGCTACCATAAAGGTCATTTGTGTGGATATGTAGAATTTATGCATGTGGACAACCTTTCATCTGAGAATTAAAGCAATGCATAGATTGATGCATGTTTTCCTCAGACCTGTTTGTTCTGGTTTTATGGACAATTGAGTGAATGAAATGGTTTTAATGTTGCTTTTAAAATATCCATGTAAAATGTAAAAGAAACAAGTTAAAGATTAAACGTCTGTCTTTGAATGTGCTTTTGTCAAACATCTTTTTGATTGTGTATAGCTTAGAACATACATTGAATGGTACTGCACCCACAAAAAGTACTAGAATCTGTACTTTACTAAAAAGTGTAATCCAAAATATAACATACATTACATTAATGTTAAGTTTTATTAACTATGGCAAGAGTATGTTTGAGGGTGTGCAATTTGAAGTTTTAATTACTAATAAAATATGTCAAAAATAAAATATATAAAGGATATCTTTACATGCTTATACTTCTTTTCAATGTTGAATCTGCTTCCGAAATACAATTTTCTTTGTTTCTTATGTACAACTCTGGTGCGTACCGAATACCCTCTAAATAGACCCCCGAATCCCTCGTACCAAAAGGGGGGCGGCCAGGTAGCCTAGTGGTTATAGCGTCAACTCATCACGCCGCAGACCTTGGTTCGATTCCCGACATGGTTACAGTGTGTGAAGCCCATTTCTGATGTCCCCCGCCGTGATATTGCTGGAATATTGCTAAAAGCGGCGTAAAATCAAACTCACTCACTCACTCACTCACTCCTACCAAAAGGGGTTGGCAGCCTCATGTTTTTCAACACAGACCCACTTTTCTCATTGACCTGTCTGACCTCTTAATACGTGGCGTGTAATAACTGCTATAACCTACCCTGCTTCATTCAACACTGAGATTGGTCCTACATTATTTATCGTATACACTATACAAACACACATTCCTACTATCAGTCAGTACACAAGAGCAAATCTCTCACCCAGTTTTCTATAATCGTGACACTATTTCCTTTCTACATGGACACACATGCATTAAGTGGAATGTCATACTATCACAATGAGAATATTAGGATCTTGTAGCTTACACAAAGGTATTTACTTTGTGGATATTTCTTATATCCCAGTGATGTTTCTGTTTCTAATAAATGTATTAGAATGCCGTACCTAATCAGACTGGCTGACATCTATATGTACTGTGGATGTCATTCGGGACTGTTATTTCAATCACTCGGGCAGTCGGGTAGCCAAAGGTTAGAGCATTCTATCGTCATGGCGAAGACCCGGGTTCGGTTCCCGACATGGGTACAATGTGTGAAGCCCATTTCTGGTGTTCCCTGCCGTGATATTGCTGGAATATTGCTAAAAGTGGCGTAAAACCATACTCACTCACTCACTATTTCAATTATTGAGCGTGATTAGTGTTGAATGCCACATCAGCAACCTTGCAGCTACTCCGGTAACCAATTACAGAATATACACATTGAAAAATGTATTTAACATTTTTATATTATCAAATTTTTAAATTATTAGTTGGTTGGATGTAATCAGCTATGGATCATTACTTATGTTTATACTACTATTTAACTTATGATAGGGATTTTGAGACATTTCGTCCCATTTACATATATGTATTTATAGAGATCTGTTTCTGTATCATGGAATAATAGCAATATCCCCATCCAAAGTTGAGTAGTTTAGTTATCGTCCTAAGGAGTAGTGGGTTAAGTAGACTAGTCTCTGAAATAAACATATTTTACAGAAAAAAATCAGTTGTTAAATTATAGTTGTGAAATATAATAAAAAGAAGTCCGGAGACATTCTTCATTTTCAGATACTGCAGTAATCTAGACTTGCCAAAGATTATGGGCTGTATTGGATGTATTTGTTTCAGGGTCTGTATGACACACTATGGGTTAAGTGACCAATGTGTTGATGATGCCAAGGCTCAAGTGTGGGCCCATTCTCTATATGTCCCACCCTAATATGTCTTGAATAATGTTAATTCTACCATAATTTATAAATACTTGATTCTGATTGGTCAATCAGATGTATCAAATCACAATAACCACCTCTTTTGAAACTGATTTGACAGCTGCCTCACAACGGAATCTCTATATATATATATAAAAAAGTACTAATTCGTTATATTTAGAAGTTTTTTATGATAATATTTCCACAGGTGTTAATTATATATTGTGAGCTACAGTAAAACTGTTTTATTTCAATATTTTACCCTTTTAGATCGGGGGGTTAAAAAAACAAGTTTAAATAAAACTTTTGCCTCAGTACACTTGAGTTGATTTACTCCCTGCTTGGAATGCAAAGCCAAGAGCCAGAATATTCAACCCACTCCAGCACTGGTCCTTCTACGTCTCTCTGATACTGTTTGGCGATTGTCCAACCGGAGACAAAACACTCACCGTGAATAGACCTGTATCTGTGTATACCCAGGAATGTAGAACCCTGAAAGCAGGGACAAACAGGGACCGGCCAACTATCTCCTTGTTATCGGCACCATTCCCCACGATTGTCCATATGTCACCTGGCCGCGGCTAATTACGACTAACGACATAGGTACGCCAGGTGATGGAACTGATCCCTATTGTAGAAAGGTGGTGTACTTGTATATTTATATAGACATATGAGTGCAGGGGGGAGATATTTTTTTGGATTTGTTGTGTAATTTGAGTACCCTGTTCCTATAGCGTGAGGCTTGCATTTAGGTTATCGTCTGTAATAAGATTGTTTATCATTTGGCTTTGGCAATAAACAGGGAAATAGTTATGTGCTTGGATATTTTTTTGGATTTGTTGTGTAATTTGAGTACCCTGTTCCCATAGCGTGAGGCTTGCATTTAGGTTATTGTCTGTTTATCATTTGGCTTTGGCAATGAACAGGGAAATAGTTATGTGCTTGGAGGTGATTTCCTATTCAGCTAATTACCTTTAGCATACTTTGACTGATAGTAGCTAATTAATATTGAAAGTTTGTGTTAGGTACAAAGTTGTATCATGTACCAATCTTCTAGTACAATAACTTCCTATATTTTAAATAGTAACTGTATACTGTATGGTAATATTTCCAAATTAGATGTCTATGTTTATGTGTGAATATAGTAGTATATATATTTCTATTCATTATTTTGTTCAAAGTGTTATGGCAAAATAATCAGTTTATTAAAATACTATTTTAAATTCTTTTTTTAATTTAAAAAAAATACTATTTAAAAAATATTAAAATTTTATTAAGATACTTATACTTTATAAAAAACTTATACTATTTTATGTTTAGAGCATACTGATAAAATATTTATGATGTTTCTTGTTGTTTCCCTGCCTGGTGTTCATCATTAAGGGGATATAACAAGGACTGGTCAGCTCAGAGTTGAGATACTCAGTGTCTGAGTGGGGTGTCCATTTTAAACTGAAGCATCTAACTAGGAACTATGAAAGAAATAATGTATTTTTAACTTTAGTTTAGTCACGGACCTTTATACAAGGCAGTGATTTAGTATATTTTAAATCATGTTGAAACAGATATGCTGCTTTTATCATTGTAAATTGTATTCAATTTGATTCTGACTTCTGAAAATGGTTCTGAACCAGAGATATATTCATAAACTCTGCACTTCTGTCTCCATGTTTAATGAAACCATTAAACAGTTGAGTCTGAAGAGGCACATATGTACCTCCATGTTTAGATCCCCAGCATGACCATGATTGGTCAGATGATGGGGTCAGGGGTCAGGACAGATGCTGCGACAGAAGACCTAGAACATGTTTAACAGCTTCTGTGCATTAGTGGTGTGTGAAGTTCTGCCTCTGTATCAGTGGTGTATGGAGTTCCTCATGCTGAGAGACCTTGTGATTGGTCCAATATGACAGCAGGGGTCAAAGTTGACTTGTCAGGGCCAGTTGTGACCACATCAAAGAATGATAATGTTGTGATCATGGGGATTAAAGTTTGGAGTTTTTGTTGTGTAGCTGTTCATATCCGTTTTATCATTTTCAGAGCCAGATGCTTTCTATGTTCCTCCGGAGTATCAGCATGATGGACACACGTACAAGGTAGGGCCATCTGGAGTGAGTGAGTGAATGAGTGGGATCTGTTTGAAACAGTATCTCAGTCATGTCAGCTTTATATAGGAAGATATTAATTAATTAATTAGATATTAAGGGCATATACTGTATAAGCGTCAGGTTATGAATATTTAGCACACTAGCTTAAGTCTAATTAATGTCAAAATTGCAGTAGTATCGCAAGTGAGTGAGTGAGTGAATTGTGTTTAGTTCTGCTAGATTTCATGGCGTCTCAGCTCAGTGGGATATGAGGTATTCAGGTGGTGGACATCCACAACTTTGGTGACCTTACATCTTCTCGAGGCAAGGGAGTTAACTGACTATAAATGTCCAGTTTCAACCCTTGCCGAACTAGACTGGAATTATAGAGTTATATATTGGTCTATTCATAGTCCAATGAAAATCATGTAACAAAATCAACATCCGGTTCGAAAACTGCCATGCAGATTTTGGGTGATTGCAGAATATGCAAAGCATGTATACCGTCAACTTAGCGTCAACAGATATTTTCCAAATCTTTTCATGTTTTTAACCAAGGTGGTCAAGTGATCTGATGCACTTCACGAAGTAAGACCCATTTTAGTATGAAATAGATCTTGATTGTCTGTAAGATCTTCTTCACTGGGCGACACCATTTTATTTGAAGCAATGCAAGTGATATGAGAGGTAGAATTTGATTGGTCGATAGGAAGGACATAGAAGGGACATAACTCATAATAGCAACTGGTGGCGCTACGATCGAGCCCAGAAATACCAGTCTAGTTCGGCAAGGATGGAAACTGGACTTTTACAGTGAGTGAGTGAGTGGTTTTGTGCCGTTTTCAGCAATACTCAAGCAATATCATGACAGGGGACACCAAGAATGGGATTCACACAAATTACCCTTGTGGGTATTCGAACCCAGGACTTCGGCATGACAAGCTAATGCTTTACCCACTAAGCTACTCCACTGCCCCAACAGTATTAGGGGTGTAATAATTCACTGATTGGTCCATGCATCACGATAGGCTGTGCCATGTCACATGTATTTTATCGTGTGGTCAAGTATCAATACAAAACCGTACACATGAAAATGCACATACCTACAAGAGGCCTCATGCAAGATTATTTTTATTTTGTTTGGGCTATTTATTGCCTTTTATAGAGGAATATGTCTCCTGATGTGGCAAGTGTAGAGTTTTGAATATAACAGTTTATAACAGTTTTTAAAGAACACATGATTCTTTCACAGTACTACAGTTTATCTGTCATGTCATGGTATGGATTAACTGTAGTAATATTAAAGAATTAGATGTGCTTAAGTTTTTATGAGTAGCATATATCATGACCAGCGGCATCAGAGGCAGGCGGTTGGAGGCAGGGAGTGATCAGAGGCAGTGGGATTGGAGGCTGGGGAATTAGAGGCAGGGGGATCGGAAGCAGGGGGATTGGAGGCAGGGGGATCGGAGTCATGGGGATCAGAGGCAGGGGGATAGTAGGCAGGGGGATCGGAGGCAGGGGGATTGGAGGCAGGGGGATTGGAGGCAGGGAATGATCAGAGGCAAGGGGATTGGAGGCAGGGGGATTGGAGGCAGGGGGACCGGAGGCAGGGGGATTGGAGGCAGGGGGATCGGAGGCAGGAGGATCGGAGGCATGGGGATCGGAGGCAGGGGGATCGGAGGCAGGGGTATTGGAGGCACGGGGATCGGAGGCAGGGGTATTGGAGGCAGGGGGATCGGAGGTAGGAGATCGGAGGCAGGGGGAATGGAGGCGGTGAATCCCAAACTACCTTATTTTTTCATAGTTCCAAAGGCTGGGTTCGGTACCCCACATGGTTGCAATGTATGGTGCCCATTTCAGGAATTTTGCTAAACAGGGCCTAAAAGCATACTCCTTCATTCTATGGTTTAATTGTTTACATCAACTGAAACTCTTTAGATCTTTTCAGGTATATAAACAATGGTTACCTGTGCCAGGTGTGCTGCTATGTACACCTGAGACATTAAATTGATTGTCAGGAGCATAGACACCCCTTTGATGTTCTATTAAGTCCTTGTTGCAAGAGCGGACATGTTGTCCTGGAGGGTCTGAGGATGTACATACAAGTTAGGGCAACACATATGTATATTTACAGAGTGCAAGATTTGCGTTCAATTCCTGTGTCCACATGCTAGTTGTGACTCCAAGGAACACTGACATCTTTATCCAGGAGATTATTTCAGAAGACAAGCAGATTTATACACTGACAAACAAATATCTTGGTTGTACAATTGTTAAACATGCTCATTCCATTCAGATTACATATAACCTACACAAACTCTTCAGAATTAACTTATTTTTTTGCGTTCATGGAAGTATGATCGTAAAAAAGTGTGCTTATCACTTTTTATGTTTATACCTCTATAAATGCAAAAATCATTGAAGTCAATTCTTATAAATAAATATGTCAACAATAATATCTAAACAGACTGCATATTTATTAACACAAAAACACTTGTAGACAACAGTAAGAAATCAGTAACATTGTTCAACGCAGTAATGCAACACAAAACCCTGCCCATTCTATTATCAGCCAATCAGGAACAAAAGTTTGATTGAGGGCGTGGTATAATTTTTTTCGCTTTATGTAAACATAAACGCAACAAAAGATTGCTTGGTTAGCAAAACAATTGACACGGAATTGCTTGCAGTCTATTTATTATCCCCCGCCCAACAAAGTTGGCGGGGGATATAGAAACGGGCTCCGTTCGTACGTACGTCCGTCACGTTTCGTTTCCGGAGCATAACTCAGAAACCGTTCAATATTTTTTCATGAAACTTTGCAGGTTTGTCAGGTACATGCTGAATTGGTGCCTTTTGCTATTTAGAAATTTTAGAAATGTTTTTTTTTTACATTACCATAGCAACAAGATGGACTTAGGTTCCAATCTCTTCTTCTTTTTACAATTTCCATGACAAGTTCCACCTCGGTTAAAAAAGGTTAGGGTTTGTTTAGATTTAATTATGTCATAAATTCTGCAACAGGGACGGGGGATATAGCCACGTTAATGGCAAACTCTTGTTTACATTTATCTTATTCAAACATATACAGGCTTCATCTCAAATAATGAGTAAAAGTTTTGAAGAAAAGTTCAAACCAACATTAATACATTGCAAATGAATGTGCAAAAAAAATGATTTAACTACTTAGAGTGTAGTGTGTAGAGCTACATACTAATCTTGTTAAAGCATGCTCCGTCACTATATAGGCCCCTTTATTGCAGCAGGCTAGCTATTGTGTATGTCACTTAAGAAAGAACACCAGGATCTGCTAATGGTGGGTTTGAATCCCATATTTGCCTTGATTATGATCCTTGATTTGCTAGCACTGATGTTATAATCCATGCTTGTCGATTTCACCAGTGTGGTAAGCAACCTCGAAATGCATCACTTCGGCTCCTCCGACATTACCCTAACACGCAGTGATATAAATAAGATATTGTTCATTCATTGATACTCTATTTGAGTCTCCTGACCAAGCCTGTAACACACACTGGGACTAGTGGGCAGGGTCTCATACCTGTCTTATATTCTCAAAATTACACTGACAATGACCTAAGTATGTATTTGTAATGTGGTAAATCAATCATGTAAACAAACACGTGTGTCAGCCTTGTTTATCTAATGAGATTAATGCGGTGATAACCTACTCCATGATATCAACAAATGGCCATTGATAGCCCGTTCAGTGATAGCAATCAGTCACATGTGTTTCCAAGTATGGAGTACAGTTACTTCTTTCCCCTCTTCAAGAATGTCGACATTAATATGGGTCAATGGTGGCAAGTTTAGCGGTTGTAGATCCAGACTAGACTAACTCTTAGTCCATGAAAACATTTCTTTAAAGTAATTGTAATTTTCTTTCTTCAAAGGACCTTTCCTCACACTTAGCCTATGAAAACATTTCTTTAAAATAATTGTAATTTTCTTTCTTCAAAAGGACCTTTCCTCACACTTAGCCTATGAAAACATTTCTTTAAAATAATTGTAATTTTCTTTCTTCAAAAGGACCTTTCCTCACACTTAGTCTATGAAAACATTTCTTTAAAATAATTGTAATTTTCTTTCTTCAAAAGGACCTTTCCTCAACACTTAGTCTTTGAAAATATTTTTTTTAAATAATCTTACATATATATATATATATATATATTCCAAAATCATGGCGCAAGACTTATTGAGGAAACTAGACTTGGTTTGGTTTGATCTAGACTTGCCTAGCCTTTTGGCAGAAAAATATATACGTTCCACAGTCATGGCGCAGGACTAGATAAAGACAGGAATACCTCCAACATTTTCGTACATAAATGGGTGACATTTTTTTAGAAGTAAAGAAGACTTAATGTCAGAAGGCTTTGACTTATTTCAAAGAATGGTAAAGTATTGTGAAAACTTGTTAGATGAATTTAGGAAATTCTTAATTTCAAATCACAATAAGTGTTGATTTGATGACCTATTATACCTGTCATTCATGTAAGTAGAATATTATTTTATGAAAAACAGTCTTAGAGCTTCTTTAATTACAGCGCCGTACTTTGTTCAAGGGCTAAAATCTGTGTTTCCTTCATTGTGATTGACAACCCACTCTGAACACTTAATTAGATTCAAACCAGATTCACTGAATATCTTTGTGTTTAATTTTGTCAGAAAGAATGGAGATAAACATACTGATGACATAGTAATTTGCAGCTACAGTGACATTGTTTAGCCCTGTACTCCTTTAGTTGGTTGGTTTGTTGTTTAATGCGGCACTCAGCAATATTCCATCTGTATGACGGAGGTCTGTAAATAATCAAGTCTGGACCAGACAATCCATTGATTGACATCATGAGCATTGATCTACGCAACTGTGAGCCTGACCACTCGATGCTGTTAGTCGTCTCTTCAGATAAGCATGGTTTGCTATAGCCCAATTCTGACCCAGATATTAAGGGGGCAAACTCCTTTAAGTCGAACTATCTTGTTTAAGACAATGTAGTTACACAATTTTGAACTCCTGTGAGTCGACATGTACCGCATATGACTGTTATGCCTAGCATAATAAGAAATACAATGGAAATGCCAAATCATCATGTCTAGTGATGTTTAATCGCAAATTTCACATTTTCATTGACAAAGTTTGTTATTGCACTGTTGACATTCACCTGAAGCGATACAATGTAGTTTTTTTACCGACAGAAAAAGAGTTTGATGAAAGTGTAACCCATACATAAGACGACCCCTTTCTACGGAATCTTTTTTCTGGACCTCAATATGGCTAAATCTATGGTCATATACAGTATTGTTTGATACTATGTAACTTGACTGTTCTGTCAGAATCATGACAGACACTGTTGTCTAATATAGGCACTCTGTTTGAATTGAACTAGAATTGAGCTAAATATTTTCAATGGCCATAAGGACTGTGAGTTGACAGGACTTCACTGTGTAAATGTATGCAGGAATGTGAATAGTTCCCATGAATAGTTCTTATGAATAGTTCTCATGGCATTTTGAATTTTCTGATTGCCTAAGCAAATTTAACAATGTCAATGGTTTATTGATATTCTGTTTGTGAATGGTATGATGCAGACCTACAGACAAGAACATTCTGATTGTTGCAAATTAAACAGATTTTTAGTTGTTTTTGTTTATTTTATGAATAAAAAATATGACTTGACCTTTCAATACTTTTATTTTTACACATATTTAACCCTATTTTCTATTCCCTGGTAATAAAGACAAAGATCGTTTGACACATTGTTCTGTTTTGCAGTCCCAGCTGTTTTCGCTGGGGATGACGATGCTGTATGCCGTGGAACACCAGGATGAACACAAGCCAGAGTTGAGCCAGAAGCTGACCAACCTCCTCAGTCGTCTGACTGCAGATGACCAGAACCAGAGACCCGAGCTCGACACTGTGATATCTCACTGTGAAGAAGAGCTGGATGGACAGTCTTCCCAGGATATATGTCTCATCCTGTCCACAGTCACACCCTCACCTAGTTCTCAGGAAGGTAGTATATATTTCTGTCTAACCATACCCTCACCTATTTCTCAGGAAGGTAGGATATATTTCTGTCTAACCATACCCTCACCTATTTCTCAGGAAGGTAGGATATATTTCTGTCTCTGTCTAACCATACCCTCGCCTAGTTGTCAGGAAGGTAGTATATATTTCTGTCTCTGGCTCACCATACCCACACCTAGTTGTTAGGAAGGTAGTATATATTTCTGTCTCAGTCTGGTTTTTCAACTAGTTTTCAGGAAGGTAGTATAACCATCCCCAGGAAACCACAATGGTTTCTAATATCTGTCTAATATTTACTGCACAACTAATAAACATATTAAAATTCAGTCAGGTTAATGTAGCAGTATTTTAGACCAAACTTATTTGATTTAACACACTGACAAAAGTAGTTGTGATCTAACAGGTTTCATTTCATTCCAGCTAACGGCAGCAGTATTCTTGATCTAACAAGTGGCCTTACAGAATACCTACAGTCTCAATCAACCTTCGTCAGCCAATCACCTCTTCCCTTCTCTCCCCCCACTGAATCTGTTAACGCACCACGCCAGAACATGGATCATCAGTATCGGCATATGCAAAGAACTGATCAGCATTCTTCTGGGAAACACCATCAGGGAGAGACGCCATATTTGGATAATAACCAAAATGTGACCAGTGTTAGTAGTAAACATTTTGTGTCTGACATACAAGGGAATAGCCCGTCCCACGAGCATAGCAGGCGGACTTATATAGAATACTCATCATCTGTAGATCGAGATGGATATTACCCCGAGGATCATGGGACTTCCAACAGAGCCAGTAGCGGACATGGTCCTAGTGTACAGGAGTCGAGTGTGGATGGCGTTACAGGGCACGGTGTTCGGACTTCGGGCTCCTTCCATACAAACCTCCACAAACATGGGCCCGATCCCAGAATGCAACAGCAGTTAGGTCCTGGCAGTGAACCTTTCACAGAGCAGACGGAGTATATCAAGAATGGCCAGTTTTCCTTGATAGAGAACCATACCTCCACGCCTACCTCGTCAAGTGTAGAAGACAATCAGCCTTCACCTTCACCTTCTAAAGAAAGGAGGAAACAGGTAAGAGTTGTCTTTCCTTGTTTAAATGTTAACATTCAGAATTAGTTATTTTGGTATCATTTTACTTTTCTCAGTTCAGGTACTTATTTTCACAGTTGATCACAGTTGGCTATATGTTCAGAATTTTGATGCATTATACCAAATTATAGGACAATGACTATTTTTACAGAAACATAGCTCAGTGTTCAGGTCAGGCACTGTAGAATACCTTATACAAAATCATCTGACCCTCAAAAGCAGAACAGAAAATTATGGTGCATTTCTATTGGTGTTCAGTATGTAAGACCAACTTTTCCTCCATAACATGGGTCCAAGATTACATGGGTCCAAGATTCCTTTCTAAGTTTGGAAATTTGAAAAGAAATTAGGATTGTTGTAAAAGTTTTGTCTGACTGAAGTGAGTTCTATACTGTACTCACAGGTTGGTTACTTTAACTTTAATAACTAGGAGACCAAACAAGGGCGGGTCCAGCACTTTTAAAAGGAGGGGTCCAAAATTCAAAATCCTCTTTCCATCAATTTTACTGACTACAACAAACTACATTTGTTTTTTTAAAGGGGGCTGAGGGTACGGAGCCCTGGACCCCCTGGCCCCTTCCTCTGTATCCGCCTATGAAGAAGCGACTGAACACATGAGTAATACATGTTCATTCACTGATCAAATTCAACATTGCCTGATTACAAGTGATGTCATAGTGTCATATGTATCTCAATATGTTGACAGGGAATGACAATCGCCGATGTGCTTGATTGGATCAACCGCTACCTCAATGAGCAGGAATTGTGGGCCATCTGCCGGGAAGGAGTTCTCGCCCTGCAGAGGAAAAAGAAGCACCTACGTAAGTACACAAGCAGTGAGGCTCACTGGTATATCAATAAATTCTGTAGCATTTGATTGGTTAACCAAGCAATTTTATTGCACCGAGTAATATACTGCTGTTTCCTGATTGGCTGATAATAGAACGTGTGTGGCTTGTGGTGCATTTTGTGGCGAACGATGTCACTGATTTCGTGTTGTTGTCTTCAGTTTCCTGTGTGTTAATGATTGAATAAGCAGCCTGTGAAGATATTATTGTTGACAAATTTATGATGAGAATTTATTGCAGTATGTTTTTCGTGCAAAAACCATTGTACATCCATTCCGTAAATAGACTGCATGGATTCACCCAGTGTGCTCACTGGTTTCTATGTTAATACCTCCATAAACACCAAAAAATATTGAAGTCAATTCTTATGTTATTTCTGGGAGACTGTGCCAAATGCTGGAAGCAAAAACAAACAACTGTTGTGGTTGACTTGTGCATGATGTTATCCTTCTTCACATCAAGCAAGGTTCATGGTCAGTCATTGACATGTACACCGAGAAGATTAAAACCCCAATAATTCCTGTTCTTCCTGAGTGTTTACTCCTCACAGTAGATGTGTTGTGTCTGTTACAGCTGCCTACATCTCCCCCGATACGCTCGTGGTGCGGGGAGACGGCAGCGTGACCTTCAAGGCCATCCCAGAGGACAAACCTCTGGAGGTCATCTTCATGGCACCAGAACTTCAACAGAAGGGAGTCCTGTCTGAGAAGGTAATCATGTCACCATCACACTAACAAAGACAGGCATCTTTCAGAAGGTATGAGATTCTCCTGCTGAAAGATCCCCTTGAATCTATAGCTAATTCAGCCGTTAAAAAAAGGTAACATTTATATTGACTTACTTGTTTGTGTTATTATTTTTCTATCTGATAGTTTTGATAATATTCAATTATGGCAGGACCCGTGAAGATCCGGGATAGAATAGGTCTTCACTAACCCATGCTTGCAGTAAAAGGCTACTATGCTTGTCGTAAGAGGCGACTATCAGGATCGGGTGGTCAGTCTCGATGACTTGGTTGATGCATGTCATCGTATCCCAATTGGCGTGGATCTATGCTCATGAAGTCAATCACTGGATTGTCTGGTCCAGACTCGATTATTTACAGACCTGCCGTCATATGGCTGGAATATTGCTGAGTGCGGCGTTAAACAACAAACAAACACACAAACGTTTATGGCAGATTCCAACTCCTATTGATGTCAAATAGATCAATCAAACAACAGGAAGTGAAAGCCCTCTGTTTCCAATTGCAGACCTGCCTGTATGGGTTGGGAATCACCCTGCGCTGTGTGGCCGGACAGAAGTACTCCACCTCACTGTCTCTCCAGGTCAGCCAGAACTTCGAACAGCTTCTTCTGGGGTTGCTGCAGCCTAGCCCCGAGAGCAGACCCTCCCTCCAGACCTGTCTCCAGGTAATATAGACCCTCCCTCCAGACCTGTCTCCAGGTAATATAGACCCTCCCTCTAGACCCATCTCCAGGTAATACAGACTCTCCCTCCAGACCTGTCTCCAGGTAATACAGACCCTCCCTCCAGACCTGTCTCCAGGTAATACAGACCCTCCCTCCAGACCTGTCTCCAGGTAATATAGACCCTCCCTCTAGACCCATCTCCAGGTAATATAGACCCTCCCTCCAGACCTGTCTCCAGTTAATATAGACCCTCCCTCCAGACCTGTCTCCAGGTAATATAGACCCTCCCTCCAGACCCATCTCCAGGTAATACAGACCCTCCCTCCAGACCTGTCTCCAGGTAATATAGACCCTCCCTCCAAACCTGTCTCCAGGTAATATAGACCCTCCCTCCAGACCTGTCTCCAGGTAATACAGACCCTCCCTCCAGACCTGTCTCCAGGTAATATAGACCCTCCCTCCAGACCCATCTCCAGGTAATATAGACCCTCCCTCCAGACCCATCTCCAGGTAATACAGACCCTCCCTCCAGACCCATCTCCAGGTAAGATAGACCCTCCCTCCAGACCTGTCTCCAGGTAATATAGACCCTCCCTCCAGACCTGTCTCCAGGTAATACAGACCCTCCCTCCAGACCCGTCTCCAGGTAATATAGACCCTCCCTCCAGACCCGTCTCCAGGTAAGATAGACCCTCCCTCCAGACCTGTCTCCAGGTAATATAGACCCTCCCTCTAGACCCATCTCCAGGTAATACAGACCCTCCCTCTAGACCTGTCTCCAGGTAATATAGACCCTCCCTCCAGACCCATCTCCAGGTAATATAGACCCTCCCTCCAGACCTGTCTCCAGGTAATATAGACCCTCCCTCCAGACCCATCTCCAGGTAATACAGACCCTCCCTCCAGACCTGTCTCCAGGTAATATAGACCCTCCCTCTAGACCTGTCTCCAGGTAATATAGACCCTCCCTTCAGACCTGTCTCCAGGTAATATAGACCCTCCCTCTAGACCTGTCTCCAGGTAATACAGACCCTCCCTCCAGACCTGTCTCCAGGTAATATAGACCCTCCCTATAGACCTGTCTCCAGGTAATATAGACCCTCCCTCTAGACCTGTCTCCAGGTAATATAGACCCTCCCTCCAGACCTGTCTCCAGGTAATATAGACCCTCCCTCCAGACCCATCTCCAGGTAATATAGACCCTCCCTCCAGACCCATCTCCAGGTAATATAGACCCTCCCTCCAGACCTGTCTCCAGGTAATATAGACCCTCCCTCCAGACCCATCTCCAGGTAATACAGACCCTCCCTCCAGACCTGTCTCCAGGTAATATAGACCCTCCCTCTAGACCTGTCTCCAGGTAATATAGACCCTCCCTTCAGACCTGTCTCCAGGTAATATAGACCCTCCCTCTAGACCTGTCTCCAGGTAATACAGACCCTCCCTCCAGACCTGTCTCCAGGTAATATAGACCCTCCCTATAGACCTGTCTCCAGGTAATATAGACCCTCCCTCTAGACCTGTCTCCAGGTAATATAGACCCTCCCTCCAGACCTGTCTCCAGGTAATATAGACCCTCCCTCCAGACCCATCTCCAGGTAATATAGACCCTCCCTCCAGACCCATCTCCAGGTAATATAGACCCTCCCTCCAGACCTGTCTCCAGGTAATATAGACCCTCCCTCCAGACCCAGAAGCAGACCATCCCTTCAGCATGAAGAGTCTGTCCACAGTGGACGTCAATGAGGCCATGTGTATGATACAGCTCCCTGTAATTGTCCACTTGTTTTTCCAGATGTGTGACAACCACGAGGCAGAGGGCAACCCACCCTCCAAGCTGTCCTGTCAGGAACTGTACAACACAGCCCTCAATACCTCTGTGAGTGGCTGGATATCCTATCATTCATACAAACCATTCATGAATGCATATTGATATCATTCATACAAACCATTCATTAATAAATATTGATATCATTCATACAAACCATTCATGAATGCATATTGATATCATTCATACAAACCATCCATTAATAAATATTGATATCATTCATACAAACCATTCATGAATGCATATTGATATCATTCATACAAACCATTCATTAATACATATTGATATCATTCATACAAACCATTCATTAATAAATTTTGATATCATTCATAAAAATCATTCATGAATGCATATTGATATCATTCATACAAACCATTCATGAATGCATATTGATATCATTCATACAAACCATTCATTAATACATATTGATATCATTCATACAAACCATTCATGAATGCATATTGATATCATTCATACAAACCATCCATTAATAAATATTGATATCATTCATACAAACCATTCATGAATGCATATTGATATCATTCAAACAAACCATTCATGAATGCATATTGATATCATTCATACAAACCATTCATGAATGCATATTGATATCATTCATACAAACCATTCATTAATAAATATTGATATCATTCATACAAACCATTCATGAATGCATATTGATATCATTCATACAAACCATTCATGAATGCATATTGATATCATTCATACAAACCATTCATGAATGCATATTGATATCATTCATACAAACCATTCATGAATGCATATTGATATCATTCATACAAACCATTTATTAATAAATATTGATATCATTCATATACACCATTCATGAATGCATATTGATATCATTCATACAAACCATTTATTAATAAATATTGATATCATTCATATACACCATTCATTAATGCATATTGATATCATTCATACAAACCATTCATTAATAAATATTGATATCATTCATATACACCATTCATTAATGCATATTGATATCATTCATACAAACCATTCATGAATGCATATTGATATCATTCATACAAACCATTTATTAATAAATATTGATATCATTCATATACACCATTCATTAATGCATATTGATATCATTCATACAAACCATTCATTAATAAATATTGATATCATTTATTCACGTCAGGTATTTGTATTATTTATTTATATCATTTACAAACATTATCTTATTTAAACAATTTTCTGTTATCATTTAATGGTAGTATTTATTGATATTGTTAATTGATAAGTTATTTCTAAGATTTGTCAAACAATTTATAATTATTATAAATGGAGACATTTGTTGTTATTGATAGTTTCATGAATTTATTTAGTAATAACTATAAGAGAAATAAAACATCACTCAAAACTTACTGCCTTATCTTTCCCTTTATATTCATGTTTTGAATTTAGCATCATTGACTGGAAGATTTAATTGTCCATTTAATTTATCCCCCCAGAAACAACCCTGTCAACCCCCGCTACCCCAGCAGCCCCGGCAGACTGCAACTCCACCACCTATCCCCCCTCCCCCACCTGCGGACGACGATGACATAGTGTCGGAGGAGGAGCTGAACCTTGAATATGTCGTGGAGGAGGAGCAGGACCTGGGCTACGATCACATCCAAGGGGTCAGTACGTGTGTGGGAGATCACATTCAGGGGGTCAGTACGTGTGTGGGAGATCACATTCAGGGGGTCAGTACGTGTGTGGGAGATCACATTCAGGGGGTCAGTACGTGTGTGGGAGATCACATTCAGGGGGTCAGTACGTGTGTGGGAGATCACATTCAGGGGGTCAGTACGTGTGCAGGAGATCACATTCAGGGGGTCTGTACGTGTGCAGGAGATCACATTCAGGGGGTCAGTGCGTGTGTGGGAGATCACATTCAGGGGGTCAGTACGTGTGTGGGAGAGCACATTCAGGGGGTCAGTACGTGTGTGGGAGATCACATTCAGGGGGTCAGTACGTGTGCAGGAGATCACATTCAGGGGGTCAGTGCGTGTGTGGGAGATCACATTCAGGGGGTCAGTACGTGTGTGGGAGAGCACATTCAGGGGGTCAGTACGTGTGTGGGAGATCACATTCAGGGGGTCAGTACGTGTGTGGGAGAGCACATTCAGGGGGTCAGTACGTGTGCAGGAGATCACATTCAGGGGGTCAGTACGTGTGCAGGAGATCACATTCAGGGGGTCAGTGCGTGTGTGGGAGATCACATCCAAGGGGTCAGTACGTGTGTGGGAGATCACATCCAAGGGGTCAGTACGTGTGTGGGAGATCACATCCAAGGGGTCAGTACGTGTGTGGGAGATCACATTCAGGGGGTCAGTACGTGTGTGGGAGATCACATCCAATGGGTCAGTACGTGTGTGGGAGATCACATTCAGGGGGTCAGTACGTGTGTGGGAGATCACATTCAGGGGGTCAGTACGTGTGTGGGAGATCACATTCAGGGGGTCAGTACGTGTGTGGGAGATCACATTCAGGGGGTCAGTACGTGTGCAGGAGATAATATCCAAGGGGACATTTTATTGGTGAGAGATCACATCCATTAGACTGCAGCATTAAACCGCAAAGACAACAACATCAAAATACAAAGTGTATTGTGTGTCACAAGGTGAACTGCTCATGCTTTCAACCACTGGGTTTGCTGGCCCCGATTATTTAGGGCCGGTCATTATCATAGGGTGGAGTGGCTAAGAGGGAATCAGGGGAGGGTCCCCAAAACATATGACTCTAAATATAATACACATACTTGGGGAAGGTCATGAAAATATAAACATTTTAAAAGAAAATATAAAGTGGTTTTGCATTTTGTCTTGTCAGGGAGGTACAAGGGCATAGGTTCATCCCAAAATATGATAAGCATTAGGGGAGGGTTATTATCATCAAAGTGTTTCCCCAAAGTGTTTCACCAAAGTGTTACCCCAAAGTGTTTCATCAAAGTGTTTCATCAAAGTGTTTCACCAAAATGTTACCCCAAAGGTACCAAAGTGTTTCACCAAAATGTTTAATCTTTTAACAGCACTCTTCAACAGACGGGAATGCTTTGGATGATGAAGAAGAAATCTTTGTAGACGAGCCTGCTGAGTTTGAGGTGCCATCGCCTCCCCCAAGCTTTAAGTCAGTCAAAAAGACTCTTACTGAGCCATCAATAGGTGGATCTGCCTTCAAGCCAGTAGCACTGAAGCCTGGCCCATCTGGAAATGGAGGCCAGAGAGTGCCAAGCGCCTTCTCTTCCCCGGCCACTCATTTCAAACCAATAGTGCTTCATGATGCTTCCGCTGATGCCAATGTGCAGGAGGAAGCTAAAACTAGGGACTTTGATTTCAAGGAAAAGGAAACCGAAGTTATGAAGAAACTGCGAGAGTTAAAAAGTGATTTATCAAAACCAAGAAAGCTTGTTGCAAAAGAGAGTGGAAGTAGTGACGGAAGTCGAACTGACAGTAGTAATAGTGGAAAGGAACCAGTTCAACCCAGTTCCCTGGAGTCTCTCCTGAAGCAGCTGCAAGGTCAAGGTCAGATGCCCAACACTCAGAGTCTGGCGTCGGCCATTGCCCAGCACCTCAAGGGTCAAGTCGGGGGTGAGTACGAGACCCATGCATCAGCTGAGATGATTAGCCCTCCGCAGGTTCCTCACAGGATGACAAGCGGACCTCCTCTTCCACCGACCATGACCTCCAGTGTTGTGCAGCAGAAAATGTTGTCTCCAGCTCACTATCAGGGCATGATGGGTCCAGGGACATCGTACCCGCTTGCAATTCCTACTCAGATGGACAGAGCTGTGACGTTCCCGATGCAGTACGGCGGATACCCAGGGTTACCTCCCTTTCAGATGCAGCTGCAGCAGGACCCGAGGACCGGGATGATGAGCTGGGTTCCCATCATGCCCTTTTCCTCCCAACCAGCGCTTGGCTCCTCCCTCCCAATCAACCAGTCCCCAGACTTCTACAGGAACATCCCAAGTCAGCCATTGTCGGGATACTCCAGCGATGCTCAATCTACTCATAACAAGTCCGACCTGAATGACTCCATGAAGGATGAGGAGCTGAGCTCATCTCCATACAGGATTCGGGTTCCGTCTTCCGCCTCCAGCACAAAGAGTGGAAGGGACTACGTGTCTCCACAAAGAGGAACTGTATCCGAAACATCCCCAGATGGTTACACATCTGATGCTAATGTGCTCAGGAGACAACAATCGGAGCAGTTTCATGATTTAAGTCCAGTTTCAAGTCAGGGAAAACAAAATGTGCATAATCCCCCCCAGCATGACTTTCATGGTCGGTTGGTAAAGGAATCCAGATCTAGTCCTCATTATAAGCATTTCCAAAGTTCCATGAAACCTCTGTCTGTGCCAGATCACCAACCAGAGTCTCCAGGTGCTACAACCCCTCAAAGATTATCCAATCAAAATGTGACAAATGACGATTCCAATGCCTCACAAACCTCCTCTCCATCTCCCTCGAAAGACAGTGGCGTGAGCGGCGTCCAAGTTGCCACAAAGGCCTACCCCAACACCGACGCCAGTCTTCTTGATAGGCTGCTCAGTCCAGAAAGCCTCCATAGACAGCAAGTTCAAGGTCGTGTCCTTCAACTTGTAAGAGAGGGACAGGGCTTTGATATGCTCTTTGAGCAGAATTCTGAAGATTGTGCAATGGGTAAGTACATGTTCACGAGTATACTTTCAAGAGTTTTTATGATTGGAATGGGTGAGTGAGTCTAGTTTGGCTGCCACGTTAAACAATATTATAGCAATAAAATGGCATGGGACACCAGAAATTAGCTTCACACATTGTATACCATGTTGGAATCAAACCCAGGTCTTCTGTTGAAGAAGCACACTTTTTAACCACATGGCTAAACATCCTTACCTTTTGATTGGAAGTGCTTTGAATATTTATACTTGAGCAATGTTTAATGTTCAGGACATTTTTGCAGCACATGATACAGACACATGTGGCATTGTAGACAGTCCATATTGTGATACACTGTTATACATTGTATGATTCAGCATGATGGGTAGTTCTTATATATTTAAAAATTATACCATTCTCCAGTTCTTGCCACTTATTGTTAAATTTGGAAATATTATTATTAATCATTGCATTGTATTTTTCAGTCGTGTTCAGGACATTTGGTTTTTCTCAAACATCAATCCACTATTTTGAGAATGAGTTCATTTTAAATTCTGTTCTGCACAGTATTTTGTCAGTTATATCACAGAAGGTCAGCTGAATGTAGGAGGATTTCTAGACATTATTCAGGCCTTATGTTTCCTATTTCATGAAATCCATGAGTGAGTGAGTGAGTGAGTGAGTGAGTTAGCAATATTCCAGCAATATCACGGCGGGGGACACCAGAAATGGCCTTCACACATTGTACCCATGTCGGGAATCGAACCCGGGTCTTCGACGTGAAGAGCGAACGCTTTAACCACTAGGCTACCCGACCGCCCCTAAATCCATGAGCATACATAATGCTCTTACAGACAAGGGATGAGTAAAGGACTGGTCATTTATTATAGTGGGGGGTTGGGGAGAGCCAGGGTGACTGGTCTTTGGACTGTATCATATTTGGCTGTCCCAAACCCACATTTTATGTATCATTTTTTCATTTCAGCCGAATACATAACATCACTGGCTAATTTGAAGTGGGAGACATTCGCAAGTGCCATCACCGAGAAGTACAGCCAGCTCTACTGGGGAGACAAGCTGCTCTGTAAACTGTATGACATCATCAACGCTCACCCAGTCCAGCCACAAACTAGGTACCGTCTATATTGTCTATCTGTAGAGTGAGTGAGTGAGTATGGTTTTACGCCACTTTTAGCAATATTCCAGCAATATCATGGCAGGGGACACCAGAAATGGGCTTCACACATTGCACCCATGTCGGGAATCGAACCCGGGTCTTCGGTGTGACGAGCAAATGCTTTAACCACTAGGCTACCCGACCTCCCCGTCTGTCAGTAGAGGAACATAGTATCACATAGTGTCTGACTTCATCACTTTTGCCAAGTTTATCTACAAACTAGCTACTGTCTTGTGTCTGTCAGGAGAGGAACATAGTATCACATAGTGTCTGACTTCATCACATTTGCCAAGTTTATCTACAAACTAGCTACTGTCTTGTGTCTGTCAGCAGAGGAACATTGTATCACATAGTGTCTGACTTCATCACATTTGCCAAGTTTATCTACAAACTAGCTACTGTCTTGTGTCTGTCAGCAGAGGAACATAGTATCACATAGTGTCTGATGTCATCAACACTGTTTTTATGCCTGTTTTTAACCCAGAGGACAATTTAATGGACAAATATGGACAAAATTTAATTTATGGACTGTAAATTAATTAAGTATAGTAATTTTAGAAAAAACAGAGAAAAAGGCCCTAGGCATAGGCAGATGATAGTGAGCATAGATGACTCTGGAGTCATAAAAGGGATTGGTGCAGAAAATACAGCACAGGATGCCGTTGTACAAAACAACCTCAGCATTATGACTGTCGTAAGTCTATGTTAAGGTATGGGAGTTACATTCACCTCAGCACTACGACTGTTGTAAGACTATGTTAAGGTTTGGGAGTTACAATCACCTTGGTGCTAAGATTGCTTTGTACAACGGCACCCTGAAATGAAGTTACTGAAATAAGTACAATTAATCCAAAAACTTAAAAAACTTAATTAGATTATTCACTGAACCTGTAAAACCAAATGACCCAAGGGATATAAAGATGAGGCGACCACGTGCCCTTATGACATAGTTCCTTATGTTGAGCGAGCCACACTGCTGATTGTCTGCGTCACAGAGCCTATTGTTATAGCAAGCACTCCTTTCCTGTGTACAACAATGTCGTGACAATAGATTGTCTGTTACTATATATATATATATATATATATATATACTTACCAGTATATGTCACGCCAAGCTGTCCACAGGTTAGATATGTAATCATTTCAAACATTTTGCGATAAAACATTTTGTTTTTCTTAGAATTAATTTGTTTATTTAGCTACCTTGACAACTAGCTCAACAAGGATGAGAATTAGTAAATTAATTGAAGTTTAATTTGACCAAAATGCATTTAAAATTGATCTACTACACTGTGTACTGACTGAGAAGGGAGGACATTAGTGTTATCTCATCAACTTATGTAGGAAGACATTTTGAAACTGATTCATTGCGATTGATTGGTGTATACGACTTGAGGTTACAACCATTGTTTGAGTTTTAAGTGTTAAGTCACAATTCATTTGTAAATTGTACGAGAGAAATTTGGGGGTAGAACTGGTCCCCAGCAACTTCTGGTCTTTAAGAACTTAATGGATGGGACGGTCAGGCTCAGGGACTTGGTTGTTTACAGGCTGCCATCAGAGATTTGCCAAAATGGTTAGCGGTACCTGTATACTTCCCAGGGAGCTGAGAATGTAAATCAAGTGTTCACTGAGCCATAGTAGCCAATATTAATGCAGCACCATGAGGATTCACTAGGTGAATGGAAATATTGTTGTTGTTGTTGTTGTTGTTGTTGTTGTTGTTGTTATTGATGTAGGATACAAGTTTTGAGGCCAATATATAGTTTATTTTAGGACATATATGAAAATTAATATATACATGTAGGGCTGTAATTTAGGCACTGTAAATCTATTCCTTACAGTCAACATGACATACATAAGCTTATATGACAACAATGGCATGATTTGTATGTGTGCTGTCAATCAGGAAAGAAGAATGAAAAATAGTCTGTTTCCTTCTCCCTATCAAAACTCACAAATAGTTATCGTGTTTGGGAAAGCCACCTTCCTGTTCCATTCTAATATAGCTTTTGGAAAACTGAAGGTTTGGCCTTCAGTAGTAATAGTTCTTATTATCAAGTTCAGGGAAAGTCTTCCTCTCTGCCATTTTGAATTTGTATCACGATGTTTGGTAACATCAGTCAGTCAGCAGGATGCACGTCAACAAGGAAGCTCAAAATACAAGGTCTGTAGGTTAACAATATTATCACGGCCCGTGGTACGGATTTCTTGTACGCAACAGTTTTCAGCTCTGAATTCTAGGAGGTAGGTAATTCATAGTTCTTTGATCTGATTTGATGTCTAATTTACAAACATAACATAGCAACATAAGTGAGGCAGAGATGGGACATCAGCACTGGTCAAGCCTCAAGTTTTGTAGCCTGGCGTGGAAATACATGTACAACACTGAACGTAAATCACAGATACAATAGTATTCAGTGGGCAAGGTCAGAGTTGATAGCAGTCGTGAATTTATGAATCGCAAAAAATAAATTCACAAACTAGTTGGAATGAATATTAATGTCAAGCAGAGACCATATACCCTTGGTATATGGTCTCTGTGTCAAGGATCACCGCCCAAGTGATGAATTAACCATCCATTGATGGAAGTGTATGATCATGATGATAGTCCATATACTGGGATTCTGCATGTTTGGATGGTTTGGATGGTTTGTTGTTTTACGCCGCACTCATCAATATTCCAGTTATATGACGGCAGTCTGTAAATAATCGAGTCTGGACCAGACAATCCAGTGATTGATATCATGAGCATCGATCCACGCAATTTGGATTGATGACATGCATCAACCAAGTCAGCGAGCCTGACCACCCGATTCCATTAGTCGCCTTTTACGACAAGCAAAGTCGCCTTTTACGGCAAGCATGGGTTGCTGTAGACCAATTCTACCCCGGATCTTCACAGGTCGGATTCTGCATGTACTGTCATGGAGGGAGCGCTCTTGTTAGCAGCGTCCCTCACATCATTTGATGCAGCTATACAATTCCCTAATCATCCAAACCTGCCTTGCGTTTGTTTGGATGTATACGCCACGTCCAGCTTCTCTTTCACTGGGTCGTATCATAACATTTAGGAGGTGATGGTGTATATATCACTATTATCATTTTCCTTCTCCATAGATATCATAGTTTTTTCACTATCATGTTAAAAACACATAAAAATATTCTGTTTCCCTTAATGTTATAAATACTTTAATAATACATTTTGGCGCCCACATTGTTGAAAGTGTATTTTGTACAGGAACATATTGAAGGGACTGAAACAAGCACTTGTTGAAGAGTAGGGGTGTGGCAACATGCTGGGGATTTGGTTCATCATATAAACTGGCATGACAGATTAACTCTAGTAATATGAAAGAACAGGGTGGTCCTAAACTGTTTTTGTGTAGTTTATGAGGACATGTAATATTGTATAGAAATCAATTATTAAATTCTGTTTTCTCATAGTATGCCTATTAGTGAGTGAGTGAGTGAGTGAGTATTGTTTTACGATGCTTTTAGCAATATTACAGCAATATCACAGCAGGGGACACCAGATAAGGGCTTCACACATTGTACCCATGTGGTGAATCGAACCCAGGTTTTCTGTGTGACGAGTGAACACTTTAACCACTGGGCTACCCCACCACCCCGTATGCCCATTAGAGCTCTCAAACCACTGTCATTTTAACTGTTTCATTAATAATGATAATAATAATGATAATAATATCCAAAGGTCAATGTTGAACTGTGGTTATAAGTCTTTGAGAGGCATTTAGATGTGATATTTACATAAGTAAGAGAATTTATGGATGTCAACTTCTATACATTATGTATTATAAAACCTGATGAAGGAGTAAGCATATACTCCGAAACATTGTGTTCCTCATAATCAAGAAGTGGACATCCATAAATTCTCTTCCTTATGTTGTTATAAGCATTTGAACTCAGGAAGTTTTTCTCCATTATCTGCAATATGTGCTTGACTGATATTCCCGGACATTGTTGTAGTGCATCAACCCGCTCACCACCTCCGCCTCTGCCGACGAGATACTCGTCGTACAAGGCAACAGATAACGCACGAGACCATCCTGAGACCCGAACCAAGGAATGGGGGAACCAGTTTCATCATAATCACCTCTCCGAACCAGGACACACTTCAAACCCACAAAACCGGAGTGGTTTGCAAGATTCTGTTTTTGATCAAAGGGAGAGAGGGTTTAGTGAAAGAAGTAACAGACGCGAGAGGTTATTGCCACAGAAGTCTGAACCGCTACCAAATAAACCACAAATTGTGACTAAAAGCAACTTCAGCCCCCAGAACTCTGAACAAGTGAAAATCGCAATCTTGAGGTCCCAGTCAGCGTGCCAAGGGGTCGTCGGTTCCAGCGCCATCAGTGAAACATCCGATTCCACAGACACGGAAAAGAGGGAAAAGAAGAGACGATTCAAGAAACGGTACGAACTGGACAGAACCAAGAGCTCCTCTATGCATAATATATCCAGTGGCGCAATGTTGACAGTGTCTGATCACAGGCGTTCCGATTCCTATGTAGTGGATATTCCTGTCGATGGTGGTGTTCTTAATCAGGGGGAGATAACTCCCGTAAACCGAGGCACACCCCATTACCTGGACTCTCAGTTAGAGTTTCAAGATGACCATTTTCAAGACCCACAGTTTCGGCATAGAGATTATGTTGTGGATAGAAGCAGTAGCCATTCTCCTGCTTACAGTGAGATATTACCAGGGGTCAATATGAGGCACTCGAACATTGGCCACAGAGGTTCGATACAGGAGACGTTTGTTGACCACTCCAACCGGCCGCCGAGTAGAAAGGCGAGCTCCTTATCTGCGACGCCAGTCCTCAATCTGGACTCCTCCTCAAGAAATCCAAGTGTTAATTTTGAGACTTACAAATACAACTCCCTACCTCGTGACGCCTTTAAACGGCAGACGTCTATGCCGTCACAGAGAGCCTCTTATCCTGCACAGCAATACGACAAATCTCATCAGCCTGTTCTCGATAGGCAACAGGAAATATCTCAACGAGTGGGTCGAGATCATGATCGCATGAATAGTTCATTATCAAATATTTCCGGAGGGGATATGGTTTCAAAGTCATCATATGAATCGGATAGTGAGACTAATTTCCGCAATAATGTACGAAGAACATCGGCAAAGATTATGCAGCAAAACAACAATGACCGCCGAATCTCCCAAGACAGCCGTAATTCCTACCGTGGGAATGGAAATGTGAAGGATAAGGTTTCTCAAGCTAAACTTAACAAATCTGGTCAGAAAAGCTCCTCGGCTTCATCATTACATAACCCTAATCGACTGTCGGACTCCAACAGCAAGTCTTCAGGACAGCAGTATCTCCAGGTCTATGTGAAAAAGGGCCAGGTCGTATACCACTGGGCAGTCATTCAACTCAGCATGTCGTCAGAGGTGGAGACCTTTATGCAACAAATTGTAAGTTGTTTTATTTTATTCCATTCATTCATCCCAGATAACATTGTTATCCCCACACCCCACCCACCCCCGAGACTACATTGTTATCACTGTTGTATATCATCCAGATAACATTTATCATTGGTGTATATCACCCAGATAACATTTATCATTGGTGTATATCACCCAGAAAACTTTTATCATTGGTGTATATCACCCAGATAACATTTATCATTGGTGTATATCACCCAGGTAACCTTTATTATTGTTGTATATCATTTTGTTCAGATGTTATCATTGTCTAATGTCACCAGATAACAAGTTATCATTCTTGTTTATCCCCCAGATAATATGTTATTGTTGTTGTATGTCATCTACATAACATATTACCATTATTGTGTATCACCCCGATAACATGTTTTATCATTGTCGTACATAACCTAGATAACATGTCGTCAGTGTCATATATTGCAAAGATCACATGTCATCATTGCTGTATATCACCCTGATAACCTGTTGTCATTGTCATACATCACCCTGATAACATGTTATTGTTGTGAGTGAGTGAGTGAGTGAGTATGGTTTTACGCCGCTTTTAGCAATATTCCAGCCATATCACGGCGGGGGACACCAGAAATGGGCTTCACACATTGTACCCATGTCGGGAATCGAACCCGGGTCTTCGGCGTGACGAGCGAACGCTTTAACCACTAGGCTACCCGACCGCCCCTGTTATTGTTGTGTATCATTCAGATAACATGTTATCATTGGTATAAATCACCTATAACAGTGTCAAATATATCATTTAGATAAGATGTTATCATTGATGTGTATCACACAGAAAGTGTCATTGTTATATATCACTAAGATAACAGGAAATCATTACTGTATGTCTTCCAGATAACATGTCATTGCTGTTATTCAGTCAGATAACATGTTATCATTGTCCTATATCACCTAGATAACATGTTGTTACTTTATACCACCTAGATGACATGTTATCATTACCATACATCACCTAGATGAGATGTTATCATTGATGTGTATCACACAGAAAGTGGTATCATTGTCATATATCACATAGATAACATGTTATCATTACTGTATATCATTCAGATAACATGTCATTGTTGTTAATCAGTCAGATAACATGTTATCATTGTCCTATATCACCTAGATAACATTTTATTATTGCTGTATATCACTTAGATATTATGTAATCATTGTCATACATCACACAGATAGCGTGTTATCATTGTCATTTCACATACAAATCACATGCCATTGCCATATATTGCCTAGATAACGTGTTATTTTTACCATATATCACACAGATATCATGTTATCATTCTTATATCGCCTAGATAACATGTTATTGTTGTTCATTTATCAGATAACTTGTTATCATTGCCATATGTCAGCTGGATGACATGTTATTATTGTCGTATAGCACACAGATAACGTGTCCTTGCCATATATTGCCTAGATAAAATGTTATTGACATATATCACCTAGATAACTTTTTATCATTGCCACGTTTCACCTAGTTAACATGTTATGATATGCCATATATATTGCAGGAGCAGGAGGAAGACAATCAGGACCTCCTGCAGGAGAGGTTGTCGGCCATCAAGCAACAACTGTCGGTACAGAGGAAGGAGAGGAAGACGTCACAGAGATTCTACAAGAAGCTTACCGAACCTGCCTTCAAGGCGGAGAAAGGTAACTTACCAGGCAAGGGAGGGAACTAGGTTCTTAAACCTCACGAACCCTAGCAGTCCAGACTGTCATTCTTTTGAACACTTATTGTAATGCATGATTTGACTTCACCATTATTTACATATTCTTGGTACTCCCAGGTGTGGATCAAAAGACAAGTCAGGTGCTGAAGAATTTGTCTGAGATGACCAAGAAGATACGGTTCCTGGAACTCTGCAAGACTCATTTACAGGTGAGTGCCATCTGCATTCTCGTCATCAGTGTATATACACACCTAGTTCTTATAGATTAAGTATATGACAACATTGCTAATTTGAATACAAAATATCATTGGCATTTTATACTGATGCATAATCAACATATTTATAAAATGGAGAGTTGCTAAATGTTATACTAGAGATGGGGAATATCTCCTTGTTATTATGGTTTGATAATCTTAATATCATATTGTTGGATCATAGGTTTCAGACGTCCATGTTTATCGTGATTACTCATGCTGTAACAGGGGGTGTAGCATCACACAGAAATTGTAAATACTCAGATAATGGCTTGTTATTAAAGAGAAAGTTGTCTTTTATAAGTGAATGAGATGCTTGACAGTTGTTCATGTGATTAGAGAGAAAACTATGAATGTTTCTTAAGCATTCGAAAACCCATGACACAGGGATATATAATTATAATTTAATGGGTAGGCACATATATGAACCATTACTATTCTCAGAGATTAATATCTTTCTCAAACTGTTTTTAAACACACACAAAATGAATAAACATTTTTTAACCCGAAAATCAATTTTGATAATTATGCTTCTCAAAGAGGTCCTCCTTAAAGCCTTGCCAAGCCCTTCCTTCATGACTACAGAGAGCGTGTTGGCTTGGTGGCCTTCATCAAGTATATCTAGATGCAGGAATGTGTGTGGCATCCGACACAGGAAGTGACACGGTCATGTGACCTATGGACTGTCATGCTCATTTCCACATATACGTCCCACACAGGTCACTGAGTTCAAATGGACAACATGTCGGTAATACCAGTCCGATAATATCTATCGACTGAATGGGCTCTTCAAGTAGGGTTTCCGCTTTTATTAATTAATTGGGGTATCAGTTTGAAATATGAGGTTTTCCCCAAAACTAATTACATCTTATCAAATAGCATATGTCTCTACTTGGTTCAAAAACATGTTGATGTTGACGTAAATGATTCACTGTTGATACTTGGTGACCAGTGCACTTTTATCAGCCCAAGACTGTTTTCCATGTGAGTGAGTGAGGTGTGATTTACATCAGTAGTGAGCCGTCATTCAGTAATATAAGCTTCATGTGTGGGGAAAGCCTGATGTAATGCATGGAGTAGATGTTTACTGGGCCTTTTGCGAAACCCACAGAGCAGATAAGCCAATGATCATAATCAGCGCAAGTCTTAGATATGAACCTGCCAGAAGCTGACACACTGTTCAACGCAGTGTTGGACCTCACTCACTCACTCACTCACTCACTCACTCACTCACTCACTCACTCACTCACTCACTCACTCACTCACTCACTCACTCACTCACTCTCAAACACTCACTCTCCATAGGTAGATGTAAGCTTCGTTGCAGTTGTTGATGTAAGTGTTGTTGCAGATGTTGATGTAAGTGTTGTTGCAGTTGTTGATGAAAGCATTGTTGCAGATGTTGATGTAAACGTTGTTGTAGTTGTCGATGAAAGCGTTGTTGCAGTTGTCAATGAAAGCGTTGTTGCAGATATTGATGTAAGCATTGTGGCAGATGTTGATGTGAGTGTTGTTGCAGATGTTGCTGACAGAGCTGTATGGACTGGACCCCTCTTACCTGTACAGCTTGCTGGTATCCCCCGACAACAAGCCGCTGGTGCTACAGCCCTACACGGAGAACCCCTCCCTGCAGTTCCAGCCCCTGCGGGAACCCCACAGTGGGTGCGAGGTGCAGGTCCTACAAGCAGGGGATCCCAAGGGTCTCATGGCCTACCTCTTCACTTCGTGAGTGGGGCATACATTTACTCAATAGTTTGTAAATGTTCATACAAGATCCTCCCAACCATCATCCTCTATATCGCCAAGGCTAGCATTTCGGTATACCTACACTAACACCTGGACCCATCCCAAAAAAATTCTGATCTTAAATTACCTGCCCTTGGCATGATGGTGGCCAGTCCCATTAATTACGAGTTTGCGAGAAATTCAATGTTGAAAAAATGACTGACACGTAACAGAAAGCCCTAAAAAATCTTTTTGATGGAAAGTGTGTCTTCATGTCCATAAAACTGGCAAGGGCTTTAGTTTCTAGACAATTGAGTAACCCTTTTTCCTTTTCTCGACGTTTAATTGGTCAGTAGAACGTTAATGAAAATCAAGGGCAGGTAATTTAAGATTGCGAAAACCTTGTGGATGGGTCAAGGCGGGGGTTTGTGTAGGTTTACCAAAATGCAAGCGCTGGAGATATAGAGGATGCACAACCATATTTAACAATCAAAATATTGATTAAGAAATTTGCTGGAGTACCTGAAACAGAGGAGATATTATACCCTGTATGAGAAGTGCTGCTGTGCCTTAGTCTGTGAGTTGTGTTGCAGGTCGGCCCTGAGTGACGGCTACATCCACCAGTTCCTCTACACCTTCCGCTACTTCCTGGCTCCAGAGCAGCTGTTCGACTTCATCCGCACGCGCTACATCGCCGCCTGCAGGTAGACTCGCACACCCCATTGCAATGTTTCAGTAAATTAATTTTTCATGTCAGGAACTTCATTTTGGGATGCAGTTTTTTAGAAGAAATTCAAATTACAGTGGACTGCCTCTGTGGTCTAGTGGATAGAACATCTGCCCAGAGAACAGAATGGGGTGTTTCGCTTCCGGCCTCGTCATACCAAAACACGGTAAAAGATGGTACTTGTTGTTCCCCTGCCTAGTGCTTGTTATTAAGGGGATAGAACAAGAATGGATCGGTTAGGAATCAGTAGGCTGACGCATGGTATCTCTGTGGGCTATCGCTATAAACCTGGTATTAGTCAGGAATCGTACAAACAGCCACACACACACATGCAGACAACTCGCTATATACATTCAATAATCTTCGACACAACATTGACTCACATTTGACCAAACCTCTAATTACGTTGATAACAGTGTTGTTGGGAGTTTGAGACAAGTGGAGTATCACCAATGCGTTGATGAGGACAGACTTTCATCAGGACAAGTTAATACAGTTTGCGTTATTACTGTAACTTGCAAATCATATTTCAGATCGAACCAATCTGACGGCAACATTGTGAGAGTGATGCATCGTGCCGTCGACCTTCTCCACTTCTGGCTTGAAGGATTTTACTCCATCGACTTTGAGAAAAACAATGCTCTTGTACAGAGGCTGGAAGCATTTGTCAGGGAACATGTACGTAAACACTAATACTAGTAACGTGCAACTATGTATATGTATCTTTAGAAGAACAACGCTCTCAAACACATACTACACATGTATATTTTGTTAGGGAACATCTTTGTTAACACTGATACTAATTGTATACAACTATTTATTTGAATTCCACTGTGATAGTGCTTAAAGTGGCTTATACCATACTCACTCACTCATATATTTTCCTTATTTGGATATCAACCCTCTGAAACTAGGCTTAAGAGGCATATTAGCAGTGTGCAACTAAATTTGTTGAGCTTTACAAGAACAGTGCCGCCAAACAAAGGCTGGCGGCATTTGTCAGGGAACTTGTACGTAAATACTTTTATCTGTAGGTACAATATTTTGAAGAACTATTCTCCCATACGGAGGCTCAAAGCATTTGTCAGGAAACATGTACGTAAACAGGGATACTAGAGGTCTACAACTATTTGTGTATGTTGAGAAGACAAGGACGGGAGAAGCCATCAGTTGATGTTGCCATGGTTTGTGCAGGTGAATTCAGCCGACCCTGACAGTGGGAGTAGTTTACGGAAGTTGATGCAAGCATGTCAACTTGGCCCCACCTCGGAGCTGCTAGGAGAGACCATTGGGGAGACAGAGGACAACGAGAAGTCTACCTGCTTCGTCCACTTGGAGACATCCAAGAAGGTGAGATCACATGACACACGTCACATGACCATGTTCACAGATAGCTAAATTTGTGGGTGTCTCTCTTATTCTTTTGCCAGGCTAAGATTCACAACTGTCTGATACAATCTAGGCCTCTGTTATAAACAGATTTCATCTCGTTCATTGTTTGTAATGTTTGTTATCGTTACACCATGTTATATGTTACTCTCTTTCTTGGCACCAGATTTGTTTGTAATATTGTCACCAAATGTATGAAAATCTAGTGATGAGGTTTTGTGTGTTTTGAATTTCTGTGTTAGATCTATAAGTGTCTGTTTCAAATAAAGTGTAGCACTTTCTTATTAACTTTCTAATGTTGGTGTAAGCACATAATATGGTTTATGTCTTCTTTGAATGGAACATATGAACCTGTTTCACATAGCTAGATGTCATCACTTATTACGACGTTACAACGGTCCACCAACGTTGCAGATGTTAATCTTGATATTCTCTTTTATATGCATTCAACTTTTTGCAACCACATGAATATTATCCTCACGTGGTGCTGACTATAATCTGTAACTATGGCCAAAACTTATGCCCACATGACAAAAAATACTTCAATTGATGACAAAAATAATTGCAATCATTTCGATTTTTAACAAGCTGGATCATTCGTTTCTAGAATGGGATTAAATTATTTTGTGTGTCCCAACTCGTTTCTGAAAGAGATCTAGCACAGTGAAACTTTGTATACAAAACTCCAGTTTGATCTATCACTAAGATGATGGATGTCTCTGGATGATCAATATGGTCTTCTATCGGAACTCTTGTTCCCTGTAAAGCAACCCAGCTTGTCGTAACAGGCGACTGGGTTGGTGACTGGTTGCTGCATGTCATCGTATCGCAATTGTGTAGATCAGAGCTAATGATGTCAATCTCTGGATTGTGTGGTCCAGATTCATTTATTTACAGACAGCCATCATTTAGCTGAAATATTGCTGAGTATGGCTAAAACAATAAAAAAAAAAATTAAATTATATTGTAGAGTCCCATGACCATATGGTTTCACTGTAGTTAGTTCATTGTGGCCTGAATTCTATTCATGAAAAAAACCATTTGCCTGCATTTTTAAATTAGGGCAAAATGTCAGAAAAATCACCAACATTAATGTTGTGAGGATTATAATCATGTTGACCTTGTCTGTGTTGTGTTTCTCACGTGGACTTCCTTCTTGAATCTGTAGCGAAGCCGAGCCGAGATGCTAGAAGAGGTAAAGTGTGTTTGAAGCTTGTGCTGTAGTCTGTCTGGCTTTGTTCCTGGTCTGTGCATGTAGCCCATGTAGGATACAATGTAGCATAATGCTGAAGCATCATCTCACTCTTCTTAGATCATCCTCTTGTGTCAGGGGAATTGTCACCCCCGTGTATACAATCTTGATTTACTGTGTCTGTTCTCTATTTGGGTTTGTCAGAGTTGCATCCCTTAGCTGCACCAGGATAACTTATCACTGGTTCAAATGCTAAATTTGTCGTATTTAGGATGCTAGGTCTGTCGGTTCTTGTTACCCATGGGTTTAATCAAGGTGGTAAGGTGTACAGCCTGCGTCACTTCTCTCATTAAGCTGTGACCTTGAGGTAAATGAAATGCTATTTAATGTGTTGTCAAACCACAAGTGTCAAACCATGTGTTGTCAAACCACGAGTGTCAAACCACTTGCTGTTGTGAAACCACGTGTTGTTGTCAAACCATGATTATCAAACCATGTGTGCAAACGAGTGTCAAACCACGTGTGTCAAACGATGTGTGTCAAACCACGTGTGTCAAACGATGTGTCAAAGCATGTGTGTCAAACCACGTGTGTCAAACCACATGTGTCAACCACATGTGTCAAACCATGACAGTAACATTATGGTGTATCAGCTCAATATGGGAGGAAAGCCAGCACATGCCCCCAGTTGAGCACAAGCTCATGAGGATTCCTTGTATTACTCAATACCAATTACAAAAATTGGCTTTCACTTTGGACTTCATCATTTAGTACAAAATTTAAAACAATGCTATTCATACTTTACATTGCCATTCATGATAAAATGTGTTATTTGTGATACTGTGTTTAGATGTGGGTCCATGCTTGCATAGCCTTCACTCTTTGTGCATGACAACTCACTGCGCTTGTACCTGTTGTGAAGTGTTGTACATTGTTATTCCCAGAGGCAAACAATGACAGGAAACTGACGTATTTCCGACAATATTCCTCTGTTCTATATTTAAGTTTGATGGTTATGTGTACCCCTGTGTCAGTGTGTTCAGGGGTGGTGGTGTAGCCTTGTGGGCATGCTGAATTCCTGGGTTTGATTCCTGGGTACAAAAAGATGGTCATTCTTGGTTCACTGTGGTGTTGATGGACTTTTTATTTCCATGAACACTCTGTCCAATGGAACCAATAGAATATCTGACCGCTCAATAACCCTGTGCCATAGTGAGTGAGTGAGTGAGTGAGTGAGTGAGTTTATGCTTTACGTCACATTGGCAATATTTCAGCCATATCATGACGACCCTATGCCATAAAGGTGTGTAGGAGAATTTGTATATGATGGCTGTAATAAAAACAAAATTACTTAAGCAGGGTCAAACTTCACTAACGAGCAAATATTAATATTTTTCAAAATAGCAGTAAACTTTGTTCATCAGGAGCTTCCCTTATTTTTTCGGGGGCACAGGTGGCCCAGTCGTCTAAGGCGCCGCAATTCGCTGTGCAGAGTTGCGTCCCTTGGGCATGCCAGAAACCTATGATTGTGGGTTCGAATCCCGGTTCGCCCCGATTATGTTTCTAGGTTTGTCAGCACCATACCCGTGCTCGTGGGTTTCACTGAAGTGGTAAACGTCTGAGACCTGCATCACTTCGGGCTTTCCTCCCCCATTAAGCTGACACGCCGCGATATAACTGGAATACTGTTAAAAGCGGCGTTAAACCCAACTCACTCACTCACTCCCTTATTTTTTCACATCTTTCTTTCCATGTGTACTAAGTCATGAAATAATGTAAATGTCTGTTTACAAATGCAAACCTATGAGTTTTATAATGCCACTCTAGAAGGATTTTTATTACGTTCCTGGACATCATTTTGTCCAATCTCATTAAAATCAGATCTTAGTTCTCGCTACCGCTAAACAAAGATCTGAGGACATCCCATTACGGGTCACGACAGACTGACCTTGTGCAAACTTTGACCGACCAATGGAATGACCAATCAGAAGGCAGCTTTCTCGTGCTTTACGGCACTAATTTCAAATTGGCTACTACGCTTCGAAACATATTTTGACAAATTCTCGATTACAGTTTTGAAACCTGAACAAAAGAACATTCTAGAATGGCTAATAAATGGTCTAGATTGTATGGATTCAGTTGTGAAACCCGTAACTATCGTTCGGAGTTAAAGTTTTCGAGGTTGCATGATTTCACATTCCGACTGTCACTTTCATAATCTGGTAAGCAATGCTCTGATTGGTCGGATGAAAGGTCGTTCTGACGTGAGTAGTCACGTGACCCCTAATGGGATGTCCTCAGATCTTTGTTTAGCGGTAGCGAGAACTGAGGTCTGATTTTAATGAGATTGCATTTTGTCTTCATGGTCTTTTATTCTTTTATTACTATGCTGTACAACCTGTGTGGATTCCAGGTTAGAATTGGTCCCCAGCAACCTATGCTGGGTGTTAGAGACCTCTTCATGGTTAGGATTGTCATGCTCGCTATCTTTATGTGTCATCGTACCCCAAAGGAATTGGACGTTGTTGATGATATCAATCATTGGTTTGGTTGGTAAAGACTCTTATTTATAGGCTGACATCATATAGCTTGAACAGTGCCAAGACAGTATTAATGACAGACATTATAAATAACAGACTGAATTAATAAAAGACAGGACATCTTCCCTAGGCAAAGGAGTTAAATGACTATGAATGTCCAGTTTCCACCTTTGCTGAACAAGGCTGAAATTTCCAGGCTCGATCATAGCACCACCAGTGTCTATTACAAGTTATGTCACTTCTTTGTCCCTCCTACTGACCAATCAGATTCCACCTCTCATATCACTTGCAATTGCTTCAAACAAAATGGCGGCCCAGTCAAGACGATCTGATCGATAATCAAAATCTATCTTGTAATAAAACGGGCCTTATCTTTCGCAAGGTGCATCAAATCACTTGAGCACCTTGATACAAAATATGCAGAGATTTGCAAACTATCTATCTGTACTCGTGCTTTGCAAATCCTTCAGTCAACCGAAATGTGCATGTTGAAATCCATGTTGTTTACGAACCGGATATCTAGTTCGTTACATGAATTTGATTGGACTATACATAGGCTCATTAGTCCAGACAAAATGTAATTCCAGAATTCCCGCCTAGTTCAGCAAGGGTTGAAACCAGACTTTTATATTCAGTTAACTCCTTGCCTCAGGAAGATTAATAATGGCAGGATTAATAACTGACAGAATTAATAACAGACCGCATCTAGCACCACTTCAGCATGTTGTTCATCATTTCATGTCATGCTCCATAACACAACAGTTCTAATTATTCTAATAATGCTTGCTTTCAATAGTACCACTGCAGTCTGGGTGTCATACTCAACATTTCAGATGAATAACACTTTCATTATGATCAGTTTCTTATAAGTAACAAATCAGATATCACATCGATTTTATTCCCCACATGGGTACAAATGTGAAGACCATCTTTGGTGTCCCTCGCCGTGATATTGCTGTAATATGGCTGTAAGCAGCATAAAACTCACTCACTCATTTATTCATGTTACTGTATGGTACTGAAAATAATTCATTTTCTCACTGAAACAATTTTGATTGTGGCAAAATTGATCTTATTGCAAGCACCAGTGTCAGAGTAGATATAAAAGATGATATTTATCATTTCAATGACAAAGAAAGTAAAATGAAAGTGCAATCAATGCCAATCAATTATTTAAATATTTATATAATTAAAACCTATATGACGATGTTGGGGGGAAAATACTGCTTCCCTTTCTTCTGAATAACTGATGTGAATGATTACAAAAACACTCACATATTTTGGGTTCCTCCAAATGTCTTCTGAAACTACTGTAAATGAGAGGTATATTCTGATCCTGTGGATGTTTCTAATTAAACTCCATTAATCTCAATACACAGGTTAGCCCAAAGTTTAGACGACCTCTTTCCTTTTTCAGTGGGACTCTTTTCGATCAGGGTCGAAGGTGAAGGTCACTCCCAAACACCGACCAAGTCTGCCCGACCTCAGCATGGACCTGGAGAAGTTTCGCAATGCGAGAAGCATGACGGACATCACTGCCGCCCCGACCACATTCACACGACGAGCAGATGCGTTCTCCATGATGGATTTCTCACCCAGCAACCTTGCCGAACAACTGACGCTGATGGAACAGGTAGGCATCTTCAGGATAGAAGGATCACATCCACTGCATGTTAGTTTTGTGTAGGATAAAACACATCCAAGGGTTTTTATCAAATTTAAAACCTTCATCATCGGGATAAAACCGAGGGACGTGACCTGTGTGGTGTATGTGACCTATATGTGACCTGTGTGACCTTGATATGACCTATGTGATGTGTTTCAGGACCTGTTCATGCTGACCCACCCCATCCACTACCTCAACTCGAAGGCCCAGGGTGTGGGCGTGTCGCTGTCTATGCCTGGGCTGCGGACGCCGTCCATGCAGAGGTGAGCCTACCTTCACGACAATACACAAACAGATATATCAACAACAAAAATTCAAATACATATAATCACTGATGACTCCTCAAATGAACAAATGAACACTACTCCTGGTAGATGGTTGATAGCAGAGCATGAGGAGCAAGTGTGAGTTAGATTTTCCCGCTCGTTAATGTGTAGACCCGTGAAGATCTTGGTAGAGAATAGGTCTTTAGCAACCAAAGCTTGCTGTAAGAGGTGACTACTGAGTTTGGGTGGTCAGACTCGCTGACTTGGTTGATGCATGTCATCGTATCCCAATTATGTAGATCGATTCTCATGATATCAATTCCTGGATTTTCTGGTCCAGACTCGATTATTTAGAGACAGCCATCATATATCTGGAATATTGCTGCATGCGGCATTAAACAACAAACAAACAAACCTTAATTTGTATATAGAAACACCAGGTACAGTAAACTACGGTTATAACGAACACGCTTATAACGAACTGACGGATATAACGAACTTACTTTTTGGTCCCGACTATATGATGTAGTTATACTGTATAAATGCTTATAACGAACTACGGTTATAACGAACTAAAATTAGTGGTCCCTTTGAGTTCGTTATAACCGTACTTTACTGTATATGGATTCCAACCTTTATGATGCATTAGGTACAGTTCTTCAGGCTCGTTCTTTGCAATTCTTTTTCTAGGTTTGTCAACACCATACCCATGCTCATGGGTTTCACAAAAGCTCAGGCTTTAAATTCTTCCCACGTTAAAGTGATATAACTGGAATACTATTAAAGGCGGTATTAAACCCAACTCACTCACTCTCTCACTCACTCTTTTTCCTTCATTAGGTCTTTTTGAAGATGACAGTTCATAGAGGGATAAGATATATGGATAATGTAAATATGGGTTATGAGGTACTTGGGTTTAATGCTTCTTTGATTGATCAATCATATCAATGTGTTACAGCAATGTGTTTCTGAATTTAGATCTTTAATATCTTTAAATCCCCCTTGCGAAGAATTCAGTTGATGACATGCATCTCTAATCTTGCAGGAAGAACCGTCAACCTGAAGTGACAAGTCTGTTTGTTTCCGACACCAAGTTCGACTCGGTCATTCAGCGCATTATTTCCTACAACCAGGAAGTTGCTCACTGGGTCGCCGCGGAGATCGTCACGTGTACGTCAACCAAGAGTCAGTGTGTCATCTTGAACAAGTTCATCCAGGTGGCACAGCTGTGTGCCGAGATCCGCAACTTCTCCACATGTCTGGCCATCTTGGACGGCCTGGAGAACCTCATCGTGCGTCAGCTGCCCTCGTGGAAGAGTCTGCCATCCAAGTGTGGCGGCATCATGGAGGACCTAGAGAAGATCAAGGTAGGATCGAGTCTTTCAGAGAATGTTGTGCCACAATGCACACATTCCTTTTGACTTGTATATGTACGAGTAAAGATAAAGCTTCATTCAACTTCGGTGCATGCATGATCTGATCATTTGATATCTAAATGTATCTAAATATCTGCGGTAAATCTGCGGTAAATCTGCGGTAAATCTTCAGTAAAACAATTCCCAGTCAGACATTTTGTTCCCCACTCTTGAGACCCTACACAGGTAGGGTCGGGTAATAGTGGGTCGGGTACCCGGGGTCGTAAATATGGACTCGTCCCACCCAAACTGCAGATAATAGTATTTTACAATGTCATGCTTCTTGACATGTCATCCCCAGTATATATACCCATATATATGTGTATCATTTTGTACAGAGGCACAGAGTATCATGATCCACCAAACTTTCAGTGAATTGGTGCACCCCTTAAGAATGATAGTGTCATATATGTTAGTACTGACAGTTTTCTCTCCTGCGTCCCCAGGTTCAAGTTAAAGGAGAGCAGAACTGCCTGATGAAGGAGAAGGACAGCCATCTTTGTCCAACAATTCCCTCTGTGCTGTACTTCCTGTTACATGTGCAGCAGCTGGAGATAGGAAGCTTCCAACTGGCCAATGGCATGCACAAGTGGACAAAGATGAGGTTGGTACATGCCTTTCATTGAACTTAATTTATATGTCTCTTCTATCTTGTTCTTAATGGTGTTAAAGTTGTTGAAGTAAGTAATAGTGAGGGGGCTAACACCCGGTTCTCCTGAATCCCCAATACCAACCATCTGAGTCTCATTGCTTGCCCCTGAGTCCTGAGTACTAAACACCAATCTCATATAAAGGCAGAATGTTAAAAACCTACTAGGTCATTAAAGGATGCCACTGAAGTTGCAAAAATGTAGAAAACATAAAATGTATGAGGGAACTTTTTTACATACACCATGGGTTTCACCGAAGTGGTAAACGTCTGAAACCTGCATCACTTCGGGCTTTCCTCCCACATTAAGCTGACACGCCGCGATATAACTGGAATACTGTTAAAAGCGGCGTTAAACTCAACTCACACACACACACACATACACCATGATTTTAATGTCAAATCTGCATTCCAAAAATGATTTTATTTTCGTCCCACCTACCACACTGCTGAGTCCTGAATACCCCTAGTTAGACCCCAGGATCGTATGTAACAGAAGGGGCTGGCAGCCTCAGTACTGACTCAGAAAATGATAAGTTAATATTTAAAGTCTAAAAGGTGTGGGTGACAGTTCCATCAAGTTAGATTCCAGTTATTCAAACAGCTATTTGTTTTCTAATGCAACTTGTATTATGTATGTCAAGCTAGCTGTAGTTGCCAACTCGAATTACACAAAGACAATCTCTTCTTTTCACAAATAGCATAATGTAGACCTAGACTGAAAACAGACTATGAGCATGGTCTCTGTTCAACTTTTTGAAAACTGTCTGACCCTCTGTATTTCTCCAACTGCTTTCTATGTGAATGTGTTCAGAGAGCTTTAAACCACTGCTCCCTGAGTATTTTATGAAACCCAGCTATAAATTCTGTTAGGAACATCTAACTATATACAGTTTACAATGGATACCCTTGTACCCATGATTAATTGATCTGAAAACAATTCATCCAGACCATTTCCTTGGGAATAAAAGGGTGTCTTTGTAAACTGAATAGCTTGGCAATGTATGTCAGACTTCCCAGTCTATTTCAGATATGTTAAGTCGCCCTAACATGGTTTGTTATTTTTGTTGTGTATCAGATCCATCAGTCAGATGATCGACCAGATCCGAGTGTTCCGTGAGAATGAGTTCCTGTTTGAGCCGGACGAGGCGTTCCAGGACACCATTCACCAGAGAATCGTGGACTTCAGCGACCAGGACCTCCATACCGTTGCATCCAACAATGACACCAACTTCAGGAAAATCACAGCTGGTGGACTTTCTGGCGTCTTTAGGAAGGTGAAAGACAAATTGCAGTCAAAAGGAGAAAAATGAAACTATAGACATTGTAATGGTGTGTTTCAAAGACATGTTGGTGCCACCTTGAGGAGTTGGAAGCTCAGGAGGAGTCCTGCAGCAATAGAAGTGCTCTGTGTCTTCTAGCTGGCACCAACCTAGCGTGAAAACAATCAGAATCATGACCACAATATGTGCCTTGTCTGAAGTGTGCAAGGACATCCAGAAGATGTCTACCAGGAGAGTCGTGAGACAACCCTGGCACTGACTGTGACATGATTGTACTGAGCATGTACAAGAATTCTACATGCTCCACATTGATGACTATGTGTAGATGTTCCTAATAATGTTGACATTGCTATCCGTGTTAACATTTCTACCTATACTGACGTTCAGACATGTGTCGACGTTCATACGCGTGTCGATGATCCTAAACTAGTGTCAATATTCTTACACGTCAACGTTCCTACGAGTGTCGATGATCCTAAACTAGTGTCAATATTCTTCCACGTCAACATTCCTACGCGTGTCGATGATCCTAAACTAGTGTCAATATTCTTACACGGCAACGTTCATACGCGTGTCGATGATCCTAAACTAGTGTAATATTCTTACACGTCAACGTTCATACGCGTGTCGATGATCCTAAACTAGTGTCAATATTCTTACACGTCAACGTTCCTACGCGTGTCGATGATCCTAAACTAGTGTCAATATTCTTACACGTCAACGTTCCTACGCGTGTCGATGATCCTAAACTAGTGTCAATATTCTTACACGGCAACGTTCATACGCGTGTCGATGATCCTAAACTAGTGTCAATATTCCTACACGGCAATGTTCCTACATGTGTCATTGATCCCAAACTAGTGTCTATATTTCTACATGTTGACATTCCTTCATGTGACGACATTCCTACACATCGACATTTCACCACGTGTTGACATTCGTAAAGTAGTGTCAATGTTCCTGCACATGATGACATTCCTATGTGGTGGACAAGTGAAGAACTTGAACAGATTTGAACATAACGTACGAACTCAATGAAGACATCAGCCAGTACCGGATTACACCTTTGTGCTACAATGACCTAAAACTGTGTAGAACTACAAGTTCAGCTTACTGGATTGGTTGCTGTTCTCTTCCTGCGTGGACGATGTCAAGAAGCATCCTTGCACTAGATCAGTTTAGTGAGCGTATTTGGTGATTGTACATACAGGGCAGAAAGATTCATCAGCAGCGAGGGATCATTCATATAATTACAGATATGTCGCTTACTCCGCCATCAGCAGTGAGGGATCATTCATATAATTACAGATATGTCACATACTCCGCCATTAGCAGTGAGGGATCATTCATATAATTACAGATATGTTACATAATCCGTCATACCACCTTATGCCTTGGTACAGAAAAAATATTGTTTTCATTTACACAAAAAAATTATAGCATGCACACATGTTTTACAGCATTATATTGTAAAGAATGCACACAAATAGTGATCCTGTGTGGCCATTACGAAAAGTAAACCTATGAAACTGTATTTTGTAGCAATCTTTGTTGTCAGCAGTACCAACAGATTTGTCTTGAGTGTACAAACCTACTTTTCAGTCTTTTTCAATAAAGAAAGAATCGTAGGTTAAATAAATGCAAGTTTACAAACTCCATTTTTTGTCCTGAGGTGAATTTTAGTACAGTAAACTACGGTTATAACGAACTCAAAGGGACCACTAATTTTAGTTTGTTATATACTTTGTTCGTTATAAGCATATATACAGCATACATACAGAAAATGGACGGGACCAAGATATAGTTTGTTTTATCCGTAAGTTCGTTATAAGCCTATTTGTTATAAACGTAGTTTTCTGTTTTATAACCAGGATTTATCCTAAGGATTTTTAGCTAAGTGCCCTTGGCAGGCAAATTGGGGGGAAATATTTGTTATTTTGTTCAACATTGGGATTTTTTTAATGTTCTTAATTTCTTAAATTCAAATGTGTTTTAACATAGCATTCAATGCAACAATGTAAAACTAAGCATTAAAAACTCTTCCTCATTATTGGCCCTGTTCTCAGTGAAATACATGTCACTTCCATGACAGTGTAACGAGACATGATATTAGTCCTCACAATTTTAACATGGAGTGGGAAGTTATTGATGAAAATTTGGGAATTTTCTGACCTGTTATGCAGACTTGGGACTCATTGTCAGCCTCTGAGCAGGGGGAGATAAAGCCCTGTGTATAGTTCCCTGACTATATTGAAATATATTGAAATGTGAAATATTATGAAATATTATGAACTAGTTATGAAACAGGAGGGGAGATTCCTAGACTGGGTTCCTCACTGATACCTCCGTAATCAGAACATAGTTGTGACATATAGTGGTGATGTACGCAGATCAGAGGAGCTGCAAGAAGATCCCTGTAGCAGCTGTGGTAAACGTACTCAGAATTACAGCTGTCATATTTTATATCGGTGTATTCCTATTTATTTCATTCTTGACTTAATGTGAATAATTTATAGGTCCGAACAATATCTGTGTTTATTTTAAGGACAATATTAAACAAATACCACAAATATTTTTGTTTTTATTTATTTTGAACATTTACCTCGTAATACAAGAGATTCAAAACCTAAAATAAGCACTAACTATAGTCCCCTGCCTCAATCTGGGCTTGTTGACTATCTGTAAACCATAAAATGAACTTGGTTTGGCCGTATGTGTGGACAAAACGTTCTCTATCAGAGTCTGCAGATAAACCACATAGACCTTAGATTGTAAACAAATATGATCTTGCATCTTTAAAGGAAATGTCTTCTACGTTAATGCATTTACTTATATATGAATGATGTTGCTGCTGCCAGGAGATGCCCGTCCATTGGTCCATTGGTCTGTGCTAGTCGTAGAATAGTCGTACACAGGTTGCCGTTGTCTCATACTTCGTGTCACACGTACTAAAGTGTTTCTGCTGCTGTTATGAAGCAATACTGTTTACATAGTTCATTATGCAACTTGAAGCTGTCTGTGACGTGTGTTGTCACTATATGACGGAGATATTGGTGATGCAGCATTAATTATTTACTCACTCACTATGAAATGTGTTGAGTGCATGATAGTGTTTACATGCAAGTACGAGTTGTTGACAATGGGTTGTTTATTTTGGCTCATCAAGTCATAATCAATTCATTTATCAATACTAAATGCAATTTTTCGGGTATGTGTATATCCTGACCAATATAGGGTACGTTCATGCACAGGGGGACTCATTCGACTTCAGTGAGACAAACAGCCTCATTTCATTGGCTGACTTAAAATAGACACACGTCTCCACTGCGCAACGTATTAACCCAATGTATTCACAGGCGATGGAGAACGTTGTGTCTATATGCCAGCCAAGTAATTGAAATGAACTTTGAATAAATATGTATAAAAAGAACAATGGACTTGATATGTTCGGCCCACAGCTAGCAGCTGTAATGTAACGCGATCATGAAATAAATACGAAAACATGCAAGTGGTCTTTGCTCACATTAACTAAACTTTGCATTTATGTCTCCAAAATGACTATCAACGATAAGACGGCCTCACTGCACACTTTTTAATTAAGGCGAGGACATCATTCCACTGGGGATGGGGGGAGGAGAGGACATTGCATTAATATTGAGTCACATTTTTTGTCAGGGGCCAGCAGTCGTATTAATTTGGAGACGCATTAATTTCAAGATTTACAGTATTCAGGATAGTAACAATCACTTGTGTATAGAAATATGTATCTTAATTATCCTTTGTACATGCATGTCTAATAATTATCTATTTTATGTAAGAAATGAAGGTAGAATTGATACTAATGCCTGGAGTTTGTTATGTCAAGGTTGAAGTTTGGCCAATCTTGTGTAGTTTATTAACTTCCTTTATATCCGCATCTGCTCAGCTAATTGTTCAGCTATTTGTACTCACTTACAAAACCCCAGCATACAGAACATTATGTCATTATCGGGCAGAATATATACCGTATTCGACGTAATAAGCGCCCAAGGCACTCTCAAAATTAGAAATAGGAGGCTCTTATTAGAATATTATTTTGGTGGAAAACCAGAGTTGAAAGATAAACTTCGTGGTCTATGCTGACAGCCTGAAATGTTTATATACGACATATATATATTTTTCCAGAATTTAATTGCCTATAATTAAGGGTGCATATAACACACGAGTGCGTATTATATGTGAATAAATAAGTCTTGTGTACATTGATCAATCTGAAGGGGTGCTAATTGGGATTGTTCAGTAGCCAATATATTAGCAAATATCGCCATGGGTGCTTATTAGAGCGGGGCACTTATTACGTTGAATACGGTATGTTAAAATGAAGTAATTGTGGATCTGTACATATGTAATATCACAAACATATTTGTAACATTTAGTATATTCTATTTATAGAATGCCACATGAAAAGTAAAAATGTACATTGATAAAAGGTTATAATTGTTTTTTACTTATGAAAATTTTGATACATGAAGATAATACATGTACCAATATCGGCAGAATTTGGATGATTCATGAATATAGGACAAATATAATCTCACATTCATCGTTGTTGGTTTTATTATTTATCGTTTTACTATGTGCTAGTAAATATTGCATATATCATCTGGTATTTGAAATTGTATTCATTTAATGACATATGTTGAAATATCCTTCTTTACATGAAGATCATCTGAGATGATATGATATACCTCGCTTTTATTGGATTTATTTTACTTCAGTGTTTGTTAGTCTATTATCTTTAAAGAAACAGCTCTTTTGAAAATGGGAAGTCTGTTAAAAGGAAATATATTTGTTTGATTTGCATTCTAGAAGCTGGTGAGTAAATAGGAAAAAATATATTTTCACACCGTTATCAAGATGGAATGATACATGCAATACTTACTGGAATGCCATCTTGGTAATGGTGTGAGAGTCTGATTGTACACCGCAATGCTGTTAACCAGAAGTTGTTATCCAGTGTTGTATGTTCCTTTTTGAATCGGGGCGGGGGGCACGGGTGGCCCAGTTGTCTAAGGCACCGCGATTCGCTGTGGGTTCGAATCCTGGTTCGCCCCGATTATGTTTCTAGGTTTGTCAGCACCGTACCCGTACTCGTCGGTTTCACCAAAGTGGTAAACGTCTGAGACCTGCATCACTTTAGGATTTCCTCTCACATTAAGCTGACACGCCGCGATATAACTGGAATACTCTTAAAAGTGGTGTTAAACCCAACTCACTCACTCACCATGCTCACTCACTCCTTTTTGAATCAAAATTTAGGCCTTTCTCCAACACTGAGGATGAAAGATTGAACAACTACTTGCTTCTCAAGCTTTGATTATTGTTTGAAAAGGCGGACATGTTAAGGTTTTTATTAGAACATTTTGCAAACACAGAGATCAGAATGTTTATTTTATATTTTCAAGGTGAAAATTGTGGCAGCAGATCGTGTAGTTTTTGAGAACCAGGGACATTGAAGACCTGATTCGTTGAATGAATGTTATTTTATGTTCCTAGTTACTGTCACTATGGTGTACTTACACTTTGTAGAGTATTCTGAGCTTTAACCCTGATCTGTGATACATACAAATAAATCTCTTTTATATATTTCTGTAAGTGTTAAGCTGTGATATGGGCAAAATGACAAAAGGAGGTAGAAAATATGGCAGGATATTTATTGAAACCTTTAAACTCACATATGAGAGAACAGATGAAAACACATAAGATGTACAGCAGGTATACCATTGGCTGAAAATAAAAAACACCCCCACTAAGTCTTGATTTTTACTCTCTCTTTTTCAAAAGGTAATTTTCTCATAGACCTTATGGTATTCCATTGTAAGGCTCCTATACATTTCAATCATTGTTACATTTTCAAGTTCTGTTTCAAATAAGAATGGGGAAGTGAACAATGTTCTGGGACAAGTTGTTTGGAATATATGATATCAACAGGTGTGGGTGTTCCCTCAGAATCGTTGGCATTGACTCGTATAGTTAGAGGACAGTATCAGCTTCATGGTACCACATTCATATATGAATCATAACTCATTATTGTATTACATCGTATTTGCTTACAAAGTTCTGAAAGTGTTGATACATTCATGCTAAATAATTACTAAGCATGTATTCTCATTCACTGCTAAATATAATACAGTATATTTATTGTTTTGTGTCACTGCTTTTAGTGGCCAACACTGTTCTGTCGTCACACCCATGTTTCATACAACACACAGTGTATAGTCCTGAGCATATTCAAGTTGGTATTGTAACAAATGAATCTATATATTACCTGCTGAATATATTTTTATCTGTTCCTGCTGATGTTTCCTGTTGACATGGCAACGGTTGCTATGTAACCATGTGGGGGAAGTCGTGTGATATTCAGTTTTGTAACTTCAGTATATTTATGATTCATGCAATTTTTGGAAATAAATATTTTTCAATGTTATGCTCATTTGGTTTTTTTACTGGACAAAGAAGTTTGTTTGAATCAGAATTGATCCTGTCCATACGAACAACCCACATGATGATCTGGGTTAGAACTGGTCCTAGCAGCTCTAACTGGTCATAACTTGGGGACTGGTTACATGGTTGATGCATGTCATTGTATCCCATATGTGTAGATCTATGCTCATGAAGCAAGAGCCTTACAACCTGATCCCATTAGTCACCTCTTACAACAAGCATGGGTTGCTGAAGTGCAATTCTAACCTGGATCTTCACAGGACCGAGGTGTACATAGTTTTCCCACCACAACGGTAGTAGATAATCCTTTACCGATACGTTTCTTTTGACAAAGAAACCAAAAACATTCTCTCTAAACAAAAATCCCATAAGAGCTATACAGAGGTGGGTTGGTGCAATTTTCATATCAAATATGTTTGCTGTTGGATTACGAATAGTTATATATCTTCCCAAGGAGAGATAACTTGAAAAGATATGTTATCCTTGCTACCATACAGCATGTACATGTCTATAGGATTTTGTATGTATAGGATAAAACACGTCCGAGGGTTGTTATGATATTTAAAACCCGCATCCCGAGGGAAAGGGTTTTAAATATCACTAACAACCCAAGGGGAGGTGTTTTATCTAACTTATGAACCGAAAAAAGAAACTTAAAACAACATTTATCAACATTTTTATGTTTCGAACATACTTTCCATGAACATTAGGAAACGGGCGTAAAATATCTGTTGCTGGCGTACGGATCTTGAAAAGGATATCCTTAAAACACTGTGATTTATCAGGGCCTCTGTAGCCTTGTGGTACACTCACTGATGCAGATACAGAAGGTTGCGTGTTCGATCCTAAGGAATATAAAGAAAATATTTGTCATTTGATTTTACATTTCATTACATGTTACAATCTGAACCGAAGTTGTATAAATAAAATACCCAGGACATTATATAAAATCCATCGGATATTATAACACATTATATAGCAAATATGACTTGAATATCCTATAAAATCTGGGGGATATTATATAAAATCCCAGGGACATTACAGCGTCCCTGTTTATGAGATTTAATCCGACCAGAGAACAATAGGATGACATCACTGGAGGTTTATAAAACTTCATCAGTACTGGCCATACCTATGGATTGAACTATTCAGTGATATTTCAAGAACCTTTTTAAAAACTACTTTTCAGAGCCACTGCTTGGTACTTTCTATATTTCATACATATTTGGATAATTTTTCTCAGAGATGATTTCATATATATTCTCAAACATTCGATATATATAGAAACTTTCATTTAGCAAGATGTGTTAAGCGTGCATTAGTACAATGTCTATATCAGACATGCGTAATTCTATATGGTATCCGCAAAAGCACCACCATAGTTAATTCCAGTGATCACAATGCCAGTTATGTGACTCACTATCAGTTGAAATTAATATTTGATACTTCATTAATGAGTGTTAATAGTAAATAGAACAGTGTTGTTGGTAGATCTATTTCTTTTTAACCGTGGAAAAATATTTGTATTTGATGAAGTTTAGGTTGCTTGTTCGAATAAAGGCTATAGTTCATTCAATTACTTTTCTGATGGTAAAGTTGTCTTCAAGGGAGACCACTCGCATCGACATTTGGCACCGGTCGGGCACCTGCAAACCTGAGAAACGCTCAGTTGTAAGCAAAATGTTTGCAAGGAATGCTGTGTCAGCTTTGAAACATGGACTTATCAACACTAGTACCAGTAGACTGATCCATTCTTCGGGGGTACTTGGAACAAAAGTTGCCGTGGTAAGAAACACAGGCAGAGTTTTACAGTTGGCAAATCAAATCAAAAGTATTTAAAAGTAAGAGTTGGAAGTTTAACCGGTTAAAACAGTTAAACAGTAGACTTACGAGTTCGACGTTTTGTGGATCGGGGCCTTCTTAGAATTTAGAGAGGAGACAATACAGGAATTACAATAGCTATGACAGCAACCATCCGTTGAACTTGGATACATTATCAGCTGATCATTGGTTTACCTGAATCCAAAGTTGTTTCCATTCTGATTTTACGTAGCTACATGATAAAGTTAAAATAGTTAGTTACACTGTATATTGTCCGAGATGTCAAGAACAGTTACCGTATTCGACGTAATAAGGGCCCAGGGCGTTCTCAAAATTAGAAATATGGGGCTCTTATTAGAATATTATTAGTTGAAAGATAGTAAATATCGTAGTTTATGCTGACAGCCTGAAATGTTTATATACGACAGATATATTTTTCCAGAATATAATTGCCCATAATTAAGGGTGCATATAACACACAAGTGTGTATTATACACGAAAAAACAAGCCTTGTGTACATTGATCAATCGGAAGGTGTGTTAATTGGGATTGTTCACTAGCCAATATATTCGCAAATATCACCGAGGACGCTTATTAGAGCAGGGGCCTTATTACGTCGAATACTGTATGTCTATTTTCAGGTCCTGTCTGGGTGTGGTGTGTATGATGGAAGTGAAGTACATGAAGCATCTGCGTAAGTAATATTAATTATATACAGGCTGTAGGTGAATTTGTAACCAAACTAATTCTTGCCATGGAGACTTCGTAGACACTCCCAACTTGAAGACAAAATTCACAGTGAACTCGTAGACAAAACAAATAGACTTGAATATTGATTTATTACATTTACATGTTAAATTATTATGTGGCAAATATATTTTGATAAACAATGCTGTATTGTAATCCCCTACCCTAAGCACCACTTACCCAAATGATCCTTCTCATCCTGGATATACTTACCAGATTATTTATTTATTTATATGTGAAGGTTTATACTTATCTGTAAACATTATTCTTTCTCTTTTCTTAAAGAATGTTGATGCTAATAATAGAAATATCTTAAGTCAGTTATAACGTTGATTTTTTCATAAAAAGGGTGAAGAGTTTATACTTATTACTGGTACTTCACTTGTACTTGTAACACGTCTCTGCAGCATACTGGTTCACTTAAGCCGAGGAGGTGCCGATGTATCTATGTTCGCCCCGGACAAGAATCAGATGCATGTCGTCAACCACACCAAGGGAGAGCCCATGGAACCAAACAGGTGAGATATCAAATACAGCAACTTGTGCTATCTGAATTCCCACTCATCATACAAGACAAAATCTGAAAGTCCAAAAGTAGTTTTGAGTGCAGACGGCATTTATTCCTGTTTTTATTTGTATGTTCAGTAAGGTATTGCTGCATTAGACACGTTAGATGAAATATTTAAAAATATGTATCAATTGCACTTTGACTCTTATTGGTTTGAGAAGAAATAGTTGTTACTAATATTTTGTGGCAGAGGGAGTGAGTTGGGTTTGACGCCCCTTTTAGCAATATTCCTGCAATATATTGGCAGGGGCAGCAGATATGGGCTTCACACATTGTACCCCTGTTGGAAATCAAACCCAGGTCTTAGTCGTGGCGAGGGAACACTTAAACCACCAGGCTACCCATCCATCCCTTATGTGCATGCAGCCTATGATGCCTATATATACATAAAGTATTTTCCTGTTAAACTTACATGGAAGGATGTCAGTTGCTGTATTGTTTGTCTAGGAATGTCCTTCTGGAGTCAGCAAGGATCGCCAGAGGCAAGGTGGAAGCACTCTCGGGTTTGAAAGCACAGAATTTTGATGCTGTCATTTTCCCAGGTGGATTTGGTGCAGCCAAAAACCTGTAGGTTGCATCCAATTAATCTTTCTTAAGCCATGAAAACACGGACCCCTGGGACTGACTAATTGAGTTATATTTTCATGCAATATTTCTGTGTCATGGGCCAAAAGGGAACAGGAATATATGGAGTTTATCAAGGTCAATCTGATTTTGATTTCTTATAAAATGTTTTTGAAATGAATAAGATTAAAGAAAATTCAGAGTTTGTTCTCTTACAGAAACACAAGAACTGATGTTTTTTTACCTTTTTTCGAAAATAACTTTTGATATTAAACTTAGTTTGAGAAGATCATCTGTGAAGACCCTGAAAACAATTTGTGAAAGGAAAAGTACCAATACAGAATGAAGAGTATCATTATTTAGCGTTTTGTCCCTATGCATGCGTCTTACCATCCACACCAATCCTCCATAAAAATATTGCCTCAAGTCCATCTCTTGTTATTATCACGCCTCATATTATTACAGAAGTTAATCTATTACTGCAGCTAGTACTGTTTTCAGATCTACGTTTGCGACGGAAGGGACGGCGATGTCTGTAGATTCGGATGTAGAGAGAGTCCTGCAGGAGTTCCACACTGCAGCCAAACCAATCGGGTAATCCAGACATTTTTTTCCTCAGATTATCCATAGTGTTCAGATAATGTGGAATGGTTTGACATATTTGTTGTTGAATAAAATATAACTAAATAATTACGCAAAATTCATGATGGTCAAGTCAAGCATCATTTAATGAGGGACGCGTAAAACTCAGTGTACACCGAGTGATATTACAACGAATTTATCTTAATGACATGTTTTATAATGACATTGTAAAATAATTCAAACAAACTCAAAATTGACAGTAAATAGCTGTTCGATTGAGCTGAGGTTAGATTGTGCTGTTGTAATGCTTTTTGCTTTGAAGCGGGGTATAAAAGATTTATTCTGCCACTCAGAAATCCATTTGAAGCCTGATTTGTTCGTGGTGTGGTATAAGGTATTTATTACCCTCCTGAGAAATTTATTCCCCTCCAAGGCAGGATACACAGTATTTTATAAAGATCACGTGGACCAATCAGATCTCATCATTCTGACTTGGAGGTATGATAACTGTTGTTGTAGACTGTGCTGCATTGCCCCTGTGCTGGCTGCTAAGGTTCTACCGGGCTGTGAGGTCACCGTTGGGTCTGACCAGGAGGAAGGAGGGAGGTTCCCATATGCTGGAACAGCCGGAGCCATCGAGGCCATGGGATCCAGACACATCAAGAAGAATGTTACTGTATCCTTGATAAAGCTCACTTCAGTCTCCCTTATGGGTAGAGTTTCAGATTGTTCTTTAAACACTGTTTATTCTTGATACGCCTTAGTCTTGCTCTGATAATGACTGTCCTTTTTGGATTGGGTTTCTCATCCAGCCAGAACTAGAACACCCGTGGTGTCTCTGGGTCTGAATAGATGTAAAGTGAGGTGAAATGGGGTTTAACATTGGGTCCAAGATTACACTTTTATAGCGATGTGCATGCATGTGTGTGTGTGTGTGTGTGTGTGTGTGTTTGGCTGCTTGTACTAGTCCGACTCATGCCGATTTTTTAGTGCTAGCCCACTGAGATACCATGCCATAGTTTAACATGAATACCCCACTCAGAAACAGTATACTGACTCCGAGCCAACCAGTCCTTGTGTTAGACCCTTAATGCCGAATACCAGACAGGGTAACAAGTACAATTTTTTAACTTCTTTTGGTATGACGTGGCTGGGGATCGAACCCCGGACCTTCCACTCTCCGGGCAGATGCTCTACCACTAAACCACGGAGGCAGTTGGGTCAGAATTGAGCCCCAGTTGGTCATGCTTGTCATAAAAGTGGGGATTTTGTAGTCTCTCTGATTGGCTGATTGTGGGTCATCGTGATCTGATGGTGTGGATCTTTGCCTCTAAAAGCTGCTTACATAACTTCAGTCATATTCAGACATGACTGCTTTTGCCGATCACGCAAGCATTCACGTCTATTTTGGGCTTCAACCTTTGACCTTCATGTGCTGTTTTCAATGCCATGGCAATCAGGAATTTTAATAGTTAATGTTCATTAATGAATATTTAGTTTTATGAACGTGCTGTTAGCATGGTGTAGAAATCTGTTATTTCTTTTGCATATTCTTCTTTATCTATGACTGACCTTTCTGATCTAATACAAATTTCCATAAAAGATCAAGTGAGCTATAAAGCTCTTAATTAACTTGAGAAAATAGTTGATTCTGTTCTGACCTTAACCCTGCTTAGGAATGTCATGTTGACAGCAAGAACAAGATAGTCACAACCCCAGCCTACATGTGCGAGACAGCTGTACACGAGATCTACGACGGGATCGGGACTATGGTCAAGTCCATCCTCGGAATGGCGAAATAGAGACGTGAATTGTGTCCTGCAGTGTGAACCGGGAAATGCAGATTGTCAGTTGAACATTAACCGAGACATTTATGTCTAGTGAAACCTCAATCACTCAAAATCCATTAACCTTGATGTTTCGTCGTAGATGTCCCTTTGTTGTACCAAGAGAATCGGTATAAGGCACTTATGTCTTACTCTGTCGCTCCCTTTGTCTCAAATTATACATCAGTGGATATACTAGTATTTTAATGGTCCCAAGGACTTAAGTAAGTTAACTTTCAAATACTTGGAACATATTCTGTGAGGTTACAAGCCTGGCCTGGCATGTCTCAAATAACCAGTGAAGACACTGTGTTGTTTGTGTTAATATTGAAAATATATGTCTCATGTATTTGGATTACAATTCGTGAATGACACATTATAAAGATTGTCATTGCGACCGATCCTTGTATATATGTAAAAGCTTGTGGAGTGCTTGTCTTGGAAGTAAAGCTTTTGAAACAAGTCTCATGGTTCTGTTATAATACACAACAGCTCGAGGTGTAAGTTTTTTATTTACAAAATGGTGATATATAGACTCTCATGACTGCACTAAATAAATAGGAGTCACATTATGAATGTGATGACACATCCTGCTGACATTAGATCCGAAACATATTCAGAGTTCCTTTGTATTAATTCTTCCGCCGAATACTTTGGGTTACGTATATCACAGTGTAAGTGGATTTATCGATAAAAAATATGCTTCATGTCTCTGCCACCCGATGGATTTTGTTGATCTTAGAAATCAGCTGATTTTCCTTCTCTCTCAGTTTGGCTGCAACCTCCGTCTGAAATTAGAGTGAGTGAGTGAGTGAGTGAGCATGGTTTTACGCCGCTTTTAGCACTATTCCAGCAATATCATGGCGGGGGACACCAGAAATGGGCTTCACACTTTGTAGTTTGTACCCATGTCGGGAATTGAACCCGGTTCTTCGGCGTGACGAGCGAACGCTTTAACCACTAGGCTACCCGACCGCCCCTCTGAAATTAGAGCTACAGTTAATGTCATTGTACAAATCTGATAATCAGCTGATGAAGCAGTGTTAGAAACTAATGCTTACCTGCAAGCATGTATCTAAAAGGAGAAGTGAAGTGTAAGTGATCTTAAGCTCTGTTGGCTCTTGTAGTCTTGTTAGAAATTTGATTGAAGGATACAACAGAGTATCTATGGAAGCCCTCCTAAAGGTGACCCTATGCCTGAGGTTGATAGAACATTGGGTTATGACAGAAGAGAAGAAAGGATACAACAGAGTATCTATGGATGCCTCCTAAAGGTGACCCTATGCCTGAGGTTGATAGAACATTGGGTTATGACAGAAGAAAGGATACGACAGAGTATCTATGGATGCCTCCTAAAGGTGACCCTATGCCTGAGGTTGATAGAACATTGGGTTATGACAGAAGAAAGGATACGACAGAGTATCTATGGATGCCTCCTAAAGGTGACCCTATGCCTGAGGTTGATAGAACATTGGGTTATGACAGAAGAAAGGATACGACAGAGTATCTATGGATGCCTCCTAAAGGTGACCCTATGCCTGAGGTTGATAGAACATTGGGTTATGACAGAAGAGAAGAAAGGATACAACAGAGTATCTATGGATGCCTCCTAAAGGTGACCCTATGCCTGAGGTTGATAGAACATTGGGTTATGACAGAAGAAAGGATACGACAGAGTATCTATGGATGCCTCCTAAAGGTGACCCTATGCCTGAGGTTGATAGAACATTGGGTTATGACAGAAGAAAGGATACGACAGAGTATCTATGGATGCCTCCTAAAGGTGACCCTATGCCTGAGGTTGATAGAACATTGGTTTATGACAGGAGAGAAGAAAGGATACGACAAAGTATCTATGGAAGCCTCCTATAAGTGTCCTTATTCCTGAAGTTGATAGAACACTATGGGGGATACAACAGAGTATCTATAGGAGTCATCTACAAGTGTCCCCATGCTTCAGGTATACATACCTGGAGCCCTCCCAGCATCTCCTTGGCAACACTCTCGATGACCTCCTTCACATCCTCCACAGACAGCTCAGAGAAGATGTTCTCCGTCGTCTTCTCATCCATCTGCAGCTCGCTCACTTCATCAGCCGTAGCTTCCACTGGCTGCAATAAAACATCCTCGTGTTTATATAAAGTGCACACTCTATAGTGTCACTTTACTTTGTGGCGGTTAAATTTTATACAGTTATTAAAACCAAGTCTTATTCCAAAATAAAATTTGTCTTGGTAAAATCTCACAGAACCATAATTTACTAAAGATAGTGTGACATGGTTTGCAGAGATGTGATTGAGTTACCAGACCATGAACTCTTTATTAAGTCCATGTGTCAGATATATGTAACAGTAAACCAAAGTACCTCTGGTACCGGTGTTGGAGGGGGCGTGGCAATGTACTGGGTGAAGTGTTCCTCAGACACACCCTCGTCAAGGGGAGGGGGAAACGGGACATCTGCTGCCTTGGCCACCTCCACGTCCAGCTGGAACATCATGTCGCATGATCAAACACTTCACTATCAACTGATTACTGAAGGGATACATTATTTGGATGTACTACTAAAATATGAAACAGAAATATATGATTCCAGTCTGTAACCAGTTCAGCTGAAGGTAATAAAGCCGGATTAACAGGATCAGGAGTTTTACTCATAACAGGTTTTATTTCAAAGTAACACCTTGTGACAGGATTTAGGTTAAATTAACTCCTCTTATAAACCTATTCATTGGGATCGCTATTAAGTAAGAGACTTCTTTCTATAGGCATTAAAACCTATTGTGAGGTTATACTTTCCAGTCGGGTTAAATCTCATAAAAAGGGACGTTGTAATGTCCCTGGGATTTTATATAATATCCCAGGGATTTTATAGGATATTCAAGTCATATTTGCCATAATATCCCAGGGATTTTATATAATGTCCTGGGTATTTTATTAATATAACTTCTGTTCAGATTGTAACATGTAGTGAAATGTAAAATCAAATGACAAATGCTTTCTTTATATTCCCGAGGATCGAACTCGCAACCTTCATATCTGTAGCCCAGTGAGTGTACCACGAGGCTACAGAGGTGTTGATAAGCCTCACTGGTTTTTAGAATGTCCTTTTCAAGATCCGTACGCCAGCAACAGATATTTTACGTGCGTTTCCTAAGGTTCATGGAAAGTATGTTCGAAACATAAAAATGTTGATAAATGTTGTTTTAAGTTTCTTTTTTCGGTTTATAAGTATGGAAAAACACTTTCCCTCGGTTTTGGTAGACAGAGCATGCCCTGGGGAGAGGGATAAACCAAGGGGGCTCTTCGCCCCCTTGGTTTTTCCCTCTCCCCAGGGCATGCTCTGTCTACCAAAACCTCGTGAGCGTGTTTTCTCCAATACATAACTGGTATTCCAGTGTTTTGAAGAACCCATTTGTACAGTGGCAAACATCCTCTGTAGGTTTACAAGCTTACATACCTGCCTGTATCCTGGCAGTTACTTTGTACTTACATCTGTCCCAATGATTTCCTCAGCTTGGAGTGTTGAGAACATGTACTCGTGCAGCGTGTAGTGTTGGAAGAAGCTGGGAAACAAATATACATGTATAAAGTAATTGATGAGGTGAAATGGGCATTTGGCACGGGGTGAGGTTTACCTGACAACTGGTTGGGATGACTGACAGTGAAGAGGACGTCTCATTACAAGAATATTGGCAATGATGTAATAGAGGTAGGGTATTCAATGGAATTATACATATGTAATGTTACTTGGTGAGTTGAAATGGGGTTTAGCATCGGGTCCAAGATTATTACACTTAAATAGCATTTATGCATGTTTGTGAGTGTCTGCTTGTGTTAGTCCGGACTTCTGTGATTTTATAGTGCTATCCCACTGAGATACCACAGGTTAACATTGATGCCCCACTCAGAGAAACTGACACAGAGCTGACCAGTCCTGGCTTTATCCCCTTCTTCTTTCTGGGACGACACTCTATCCCCTACACCTTACTTGGAGTATGTTCAAAGATGAGTATGCAGTGAAATGAGTCTGGAGACCTCACTTTGTGGACAACTACTGTTTTACAACATTAAGTCACTAAAAAGGTATTACTATGAACCTGTGATTCGTTATTTCAGATATTGGGATTGGCATACTGGAAAAAATGCCTTTCACTATACAAAGGGTACCGGTACTTCAAATTTTGACAGTAAAGACTCTTATACATCAACATATTTAATTTAGCAAGCAGTTCATCTGCAAGAAGAATCAATGGTGAATCAGATCCATAAAATCCTTGGAATCTTCAATTAACCATTTCATTTTTAAACCAGCTGTCTTAAAGGATTGTACAGGAGATGAGAAGAGAAGTGTTCCGAGTCGTTTGCTGCTCACCTGGTGTATAGATAGTTGGTGATTTCTTTGGCCTGGTTCACATCAAAGAACTCCAGTCCTCCGTATTGCATGTCTGGTCCACTCTCAGCTCCGATACCCACAAGCATCTTCTTCATCTCTTTCAGGTTTTCAACCAATGATAGGTGTTTCTCTGGAAACAGATGCAAATGATCACACATCACAGACTTTCAACCAATGATACATGTTTCTCTGGAAACAGACGCAAATTATCACACATCACAGATTATCAACCACTGATAAATGATCACATATCACTGATTTTCTGTAACAATACATTCATCCTCAAAATGTCATTTTAAAGACTTTTTCTTATCTCTTACTTTACTGATTTGTTTGTATCAAAGACATTACTGAAAATAGATTTTTTTCTTCATAAAGTTATCTGAATATTATTGCCATGTGCTCAGTTTTAGTTAACATGTGTCACAGTTTAATTTATTTCAAGTGGTTGTCCAGCAGGTATTGTGTGCAGATGTTTTGTATGGTAAATACTGAAGTTTACATTTTGAATTGATACTAACAACAATTCAGGGAAAGGCTATTTATCTGTGTTAATGTAAATATGAAAATACAGTGAAACTCACTCCTGAAACCTAGACTTTGAAAAGTTCATCAGCTGACCCTTTACAGATAAATAGGTTGCAAAGTTGATCATCATATCAATATCACTAATAATTGTATAACATACAACATGTACAACACCTTTGACATTGTCGAAGAGTGTGTGTACGAGTGTGAAGAAGCCTGACAGCTGCTGAACAGAGAATGCCTTCTCCTTGCCCCACCATACAGACGCTGTGTAGAAGTCTAATATGGAAGCCTCCCGCAGGTCCGTTGAGTGACTGTCTAGCTTGAATATGTCGCATAATTTCCTTCAAGAAAACAACAATAATAGCCATCTTGTGAATAATACAATCTTTGGCAAAATATGATATATATTTTTTTCATGTTTTTCCTGAAAGTCAATATTGCGGCAACAATACACACAAATGATTCTAGAGCTGGGACGGTAACTCTGGTCGGGTGGAACCTCAGTAGAACCCAGGTACACTAAGTACTACCTTCATCCGTGGTTAGTCACGCGATATATTGTTTATGAATATAACAATAAAACTCCATGGTCACACTACAAGTGACTAATGTTTGCACCTTCTGACTTTAATATGTTGGCGTAAAGATAAAGCTTCAGCGTATGCATGATCAGATCATTTTACATGTGTATCATAATAGTTTTTGCCAGGGCTCCAGTAAAACAATTCCCAAATGGGACATTTTGTACCCAAATCTTGAGTGAGTGAGTGAGTTGGGTTTAACGCTGCTTTTAACAGTATTACAGTTATATCGCGGCGTGTCAGCTTAATGTGGGAGGAAAGTCCGAAGTGATGCAGGTCTCAGACATTTACCACTTCAGTGAAACCGACGAGTACGGGTACGGTGCTGACAAACCTAGAAACATAATCGGGGCGAACCAGGATTCGAACCCACAATCATAAGTTTCTGGCGTGCCCAAGGGACGCAACTCTGCACAGCGAATCACAGCGCCTTAGATGACTTGGCTACCCGTGCCCCCACCCAAATCTTGAGATCTACAGAGGTACCCAGGCAGGGTCGGGTAATAGGGGGTCGGGTACCAGGGTAGTAATTTTGGACTCATCCCATCTCGAAATGATTCCTTACACATCTTCTCATGCATATGTTCTTGAAACATGATTTTCTCCACTTGTAACATGTTCATTCAGATCCTGCATCCTGATGATTCCAAACAAATACCAACACCAAACCGTAATTAATCTGTGCTACCTACATCTGTATGTGTTCTATACTGAGTGCCTGTAGTTCTCGGGTCTGGTCTGCTGTCAACACCTTGAAGGCCAGGGCTCCTTCCCGTTCATCTGCCTCACCGTCCTAGACAATCAGAAAAGGTGCTACAGACACATGTAGAAGAGGAATGTTGCCTTAATCAGTCTGTCATGTACAGTTTGGATCCAACCACCTGTTTTGTAGTGTTATTATAGTGCAAGGAAATTATTATAAAACCTTAAAAAGAAAGATACACCATATTTTGGTTATTTATCTTTACTGGTAATACAGTATGTAGAAGATTATACACTGTAGGTTTGACTCCATGATACATGTTTCACAATCGTACAGATATGATATGATGATAAGATGATGTGCAACGTCATTAATAAATAATAAAAAATAACGTGCTGATTTAGAAGGTGGTATACACAGTTAACATGTCATGAGGCCAAATACAGGTTTCTACTCGGAATATATATATAAATTAGCCCTATTTGTCAGGTTCTTTTAAAGACTTGAATGTTTGTCAATCATTGTTTCAGCTCTGGTTTTAGAGAATATTGAAACAACAGGTGGTCCCAGTCAGTTGCACAATAAGCATTATATAACAGTTGTAGAAGGATACCATTCATAACAAATATTCATATCACGTTGATACAAGATCTAATTTAGGGTTGTCAGATGAATCTCAATTTATTTAGTCTTGTTACAGTCTTTGTTTACATCCTGAGCTACGGATGAAACTTCAGATATGTATATTATTTATCATGATATTTGATGGAATACAACAAAATCAAAGTGTACCACTGTCACTTTTTTCTTATGTTTTCCATCAGTCTTAGCTGAGGACAAATTCGATGATGATCCATGCAGAGATGCTTTACTTGCTCTGGATGCGATTTTAGACTGGCTTCTCGTCGCCATTTTCGTCGCTATGACAAACTTGACAAATGGACCGCTCCGGTGATGAGAGCGCGTCAAGGGAAATAACTGCTACTTACCTTTACTTTGGCACGCCGTCTGTTGGACTGAAAGATAAAGGTCTTCCTTTGAATTTGAGCGTTAATAAGGGACAGTGAATTACATACGCGTATTCCACATACTGTTATATTAAAACAACCATTTGTTCTTGAAGTATGCATTTTTTTTATTGAAAGTAAAACGACATAAAAGAAATGCATAAACTCAAATGTACCCAGCAAACACAAGAGAATACTGAATAGCATCTCCGCAACATGGACTGTAGTCGTTCGTTGGTTTGGTTGGTATGTTGTTTTACGCCGCATTCAGCAATATGACGCCGGTCTGTAAATAATCGAGCCTGGACCAGACAATCCAGTGATTGATATCATGAGCATCGATCCACGCAATTGGGATCGATGACATGCTTCAACCATGTCAGCCATGTCAGCATATTGCTGAGTGCGGCGTTAAACAAAAACAAACAACCAACCATGTCAGCGGGCCTGTATCACAAACATTTAGTCCCAGACATAAAGTTAGGCTATTAAACAAATTAGATAGATAGATAGACAAACAGACAGACTGATAGATATGGAGCCTAGAATAATGCTTAATTTCAGAACCGAGGCTATAAAGCTTTATTCTCTATAGGGTCTGGGAGACAGACTAAAGTATCACGGGTAATATATATCAGTTATATGACGGTTACCTGTACATAATCGAGTCTGGACCAGACAATCCAGTGATTGATAGTGTGAGCAACGATCCACGTCGACCGGGTACGTGCCAATTCACCAACCAAGTCACATACCCTATTTGTAAGACACCTCATTAGAATTGAAGACTTAAGACTTATAATAAATAAATGAAAATACTTTAATTGTGTTTCATAGGCTTAAATAGCCACATCAATATTTCAACAAGTTTAATATATTTATGAAAATAAAATCACTGCTGTGTTTCAAACACGATCAATAAGATATATTAAATCCTTAAAACACATTGTTTTCATTTTGGTTATGATTCCTATTTTGGAGTTATTAGTTCAAAGTTCATTTTGCTTCATACACATGTTAAACATTTATTATAATAAAAGCAAAACAGTTTAGAAACCTGTACATTATAAAATTGGGACGTATTCATTTCGGTGTGCCCTTTCGTATTGAGTACATAATCAAGCTCTATATTAGCAAACTTTAATGAACCAGACTGCAACTTACAGTAGAACTAATTCTGAGAAGAATTTTAAATAAATTACTGTAATTGTAATTACAGTATAATAAAGAAGTTGTTGTCCATAAAACATTAATGTCTACTTCGTCATCCGCCAACTTCTAAGAAATGCTTATCAAACAATTACTGTGGTAATGACATTTGATGTTGATTTGGTATGTTCTTCGCATCTTTTTCTTATAGATTTATATCGTGCAACCTTTTTCTTTTGAATATTTTTATTTATAAATGTTAATTACCATAGGTAGTATTAATGATTCCCAAACACATGTAAAAACATGTAAATAGAAATAACTAAATCTGACAACTGGGGTATGCACCCGATGCATACACTTGCTACTTGCGACCAGCATGGGATGATGGGGACCAATTCTAACCCAGACTGATCCCCTCTGTGTTCGTGTGGCACAGACGTGTGATTGGTGTTGTGAACTCCGGATTACTCACTCAAAGCTCTCACTCATTACCAATCAATCCAATCACTCACCCAATCCACTCACCTCCGGCCCAATCACATCCACCGCCAATCATACACTCTCCATTGCTCACTCCTAACAACACCGTGTCATGCATAGTCGTATAACACTATGTCATGCATAGTCGTATAACACTGTGTCATGCATAGTAGTATAACACTATGTCATGCATAGTCCTATAACACTGTGTCATGCATAGTGGTATAACACTGTGTCATGCATAGTCGTATGACACTGTCATGACTAGTCCTATAACACTGTGTCATGCATAGTCGTATAACACTGTGTCATGCATAGTCGTATGACACTGCGTCATGCATAGTCGTATAACACTGTGTCATGACTAGTCGTGTAACACTGTGTCATGACTAGTCGTATAAACACTGTCATGACTAGTCGTATAGACACTGTGTCATGACTAGTCGTATAAACACTGTGTCATAACTAGTCGTATAACACTGTGTCATGACTAGTCAAGTAAAATGTTTTTCACATTACTCTGATACGAAAAATAGTTATTCTGGTATGTATGTGTTAATGCTTTCATAAATAGTATTACGGGAAGTAATAGAAAGTAAACATAGCCTTTACACAACAGCCTTCACACGACCTACTCCAGAAACTCTTGAAGCTGACACCCAGCACACCCCGAGCAACCTGTGTGTAGTATATGTTTGATACCATAGTCTATATCAATAACAATCAGTCATACCGCGACAACGCGCGTGTCTGCAACCCTTTTATACTAGATTATGATACATACACTAGATATACCCATGTCATAGGTGAGAAATCGAAGGTATTTTTTCATTCGTCTTCGATTGTACTACGGCACATGTAAAGCCACATGTTGGTTGGTTGGTTGGTTGGTTGGTTTGTTGTTTAACGCCGCACTCAGCAATATTCCAGCTATATGACGGCGGTCTGTAAATAATCGAGTCTGGACCAGGCAATCCAGTGATTAATATCAATTGGGACCGATGACATGTATCAACCAAGTCAGCGAGCCCGACCACCCGATCCCGTTAGTCGCCTTTTACGACAAGCATAGTCGCCTTTTATGGCAAGCATGGGTTGCTGAAGACCTATTCTACCCCGGAATCTTCACGGGTCTAAAGCCACATGTATAATTCGGAAAGTAAAAACTGCGGCGTATCCATTTGAATGAGGAGTTGCTAATCAATGAATATAATATACTGATGGAATAAGGGGACACTGAAATATATAGGGAAATAAACTTTCTCGTCAGTACATTTGAAATAGCGCGCCTACAAATTCAACACGTCAGAATCCAATGTTGAGATGTGTTTGTGTGCATTGTTTCCAACGTGTATTTGGTACACAAGGCTGGGCACCCATGATAGCATATCACTTTACTGTGTCTAAAACTAACTGTTCGCTTATTCATTTCCATCAGTATATCTGAAAGCTAGCAAGTGCTACGTGCACAACAAGTTACATGCATTAGTATGTTGGAAGAATATTCCTGTTCTTGTGAACTAAAACAAAATACATCGTATCCCGATTGCGTCGATCGATGCTCTTGTTGTCAATCACTGGATTGTCTGGTCCAGAATCGATTACTTACAGTCCGTTACTTGGAATATTACGTTAAAAAACAAAACAAACATTGAACATTGATTGTGCTAAGGTTAATTTGTGGTAAACATTATGAGACATATTACGGTATATTCATGTTACCTAGGAATGTGTATTTAGAACAATGTTACACATGCTAAAGATTGTTTGTATTTACCATTCTGTATCCGGGAGACAAAACACAACCGGCGTACAACTCCCTCGAGTTCCAAATGAACAACATGGAAATCAGGTAGCTTAGACGTTAATCCGTAGCTCGCACTGATCGGATTAACGTGTCGTGTATCCATGTATAGTAACACATAGTTGCGGGTATCAGGATAAGTAATAGCTTTAATAGTACACCCATGAAGTGCAGTACATCTGATGTTTTGCTTGTTTGTTTGTTTGTTTGTTTGTTTGTTGTTTAACGCCGCACTCAACAATATTCCACCTATATGACAGCGGTGTGTAAATGTTAGTGTCTGGGCCAGTGATCCTGTGAGTGACATCACGAGCGTCGATGACATGCATCAACCAAGTCAGCGAGCCTGAGCACCCGATCCGTTAGTCGGCATCGTCACCTTTAACGGCAGGGTGGGTTGCTGAAGATCTGTTCTTCCCCGGATCATCACGGGTAACTGATGTATCACGCACAAGGCATGCAGATTGAGCTTAACATTATAAGTCTAACATGTTGAACATGATTGTATATATATATGTGTGTACATCTTCCCGAGGCAAGGGAGTTAGCTGGCTATAAAAGCCCAGTTTCCACTTTTACAGTCAGTTAACTCCCTTGCCTCGGGAAGATCATCTGTGTATATTACAAGCATACACCCAATGACTGACAACATTGTCTCGAAGTACATCCGGATCTCTCACACTACTCATCAGCTTACTTAAAATATACACCCCTCACATCCAATTATATAACTACCGTGATTGCTGGAATACTTATGTAAGCAGCACGATGCAAGTATACATGTATGTCAGTGTACTTCTTTAATGAGGGGGGGCATAGGTATATATTCTCAACTCCCACCCCCAGACACACATAAAATTCTATCCCCCATTCCCCAACACACACAAATGTCCCAACACATCCACACCCGCCACCATTTTCCTATACTAGTATTCATTAACCTTACTCTCGAACACACCTGTAATCCTCATCCCCAACCTTCCACGCACCAACACACCCATATTGCTGAATCTTTCTCTCGAACACACCTGTAATCCTCATTCCCAACCTTCCACGCACCAACACACCCATATTGCTGAACCTTACTCTCGAACACACCTGTAATCCTCATTCCCAACCTTCCACGCACCAACACACCCATATTGCTGAACCTTACTCTCGAACACACCTGTAATCCTCATTCCCAACCTTCCACGCACCAACACACCCATATTGCTGAACCTTACTCTCGAACACACCCGTAATCCTCATTCCCAACCTTCCACGCACCAACATACCCATATTGCTGAACCTTACTCTCGAACACCACCTGTAATCCTCATTCCCAACCTTCCACGCACAAACATACCCATATTGCTGAACCTTACTCTCGAACACCACCTGTAATCCTCATCCCCAACCTTCCACGCACCAACATACCCATATTGCTGAATCTTTCTCTCGAACACACCTGTAATCCCACACCGGGGCTAGACACGGTCCCTCGTGCGTTATATAGATCGTCCGAGATTAATACAAATGCATGTGGTCTAGGCCTACGTGGTTTTCTACAAAAAAAACTAGTTATTTTCCATAAACTACTAATCCGAAATGAACTTCCGACTAGTTGGATTGACAAATGGAGTCTGCCCCTGACGAATTCTTTCCAACATATATCCCCGATAACATCCGTTTAATCAATATCCCATGCCTTCCGACATACAAGCATTTGCATCACAACGTTACAGACGCTTCAGCATACCTATACTCCCAAACCCCTACCCTGGAACACACCCGTTATCCCTACCTAGCCTTCCTACAAACAAGAATAGTCGTCATTACCGAACTTGCCAATATTCCCCTTTCCTCGATCGAATACATCCATAACCCATGGGCGGCCATTCGGTCCAAAAAAACAAGGACAAAAGAACGCAATTTAGGTCAAATATTACGAAAAAAGAACTAAATGTTACTACTAAAGGTCAAAATACAATATTAATAGTCAAATGTTACGAAAAGACGTCATAAGAAAAGAAAGAACAATATGTACGAAAGAACGTCAGTGAGCACGAAAGGACGTTTTCAATAAAGAACGTCAGTGAGCACGAAAGGACGTTGACAATAAAGAACGCCAGATGGCGCTGCAATTTGTAAAACATTCCGAGTTTAATCGGCTTGTTCCGCCGTGTATAGTATAAATGATAACTGCATGCCGAGGTGCACAATGTATTACGTCATTCCTCGTGCACTCACCGACTGACGTCACACATATATATACATGTATTTATAATGTATAATGTACACATTGTGTATAAACATGTTGCGTAAGCTTTGTCACCGCTTAGGGCCTTTTCATAAATACAGTATACTGTGTAATCCAACATCTGCCTAACATTAAATGGTACATGTATTTTAACCTTCAAAAAACACTCACTAAAGCTAAACTAGGATTCATCTAAAGTGATCCAATAACTGTTCATGCTTGGTGCAACACGTGGGTGCTATGATGCCGAGTTTTGTTTCAGACGCACATTTTTACTGAAATGTGAACGGCCTCAGACCAAATACACTTGCAATGAACAACTCAAACAATGTACTACATAGTTAGAACTTTTTAACCAGCCCTCGTACCCGTATTCCAAACCATGACACTTCAACACATCAGCATTTTTTGTATCACCCCTTCGTGTAAGAATCGCTGTTACAATCTCATATCTATTACATTTGTGAACATGTAAGGTTAATCTGGGAGACAAGGCCAGATATATCACTGACTTTGTTAATGGCGCTATAAGAATTCTAAATGAAACTACATTGATATAACCAAACTGCACACTCACCTTGCCCTTCGGTCGCGACATTTTGTCCCCTCGCGACGGACACTGGGAGTTCTCTCGAATCTCCTCCCACGTCAGGAGGGGGATATCAGTCTCACGGTGCGTTAACTTCGTGTAAGATCCCCCAATTAATCTCGCGTGTGGCCACGCTGAGATTATCTCTGTTTCGACTCAAGCTAGTCACGTGACACCCTGGAGATTGCGAGACAATAATAAACAGAAAAATGATATGTTCAAATATGAGTGATATGTCACAATGGATCGTGTCTATTGAGTGGTGCATGTTTATATCGCCTATAGTCATCTGTCATACGTGGCTATACGGAACACGTTACTCGAACAACGCCAGGCGTTCACCGCGGGGTTTTATGAGACTCTTTTGCAAATGGAAATATCCTTCGGGTCGGAAACATGAATAGAGCAATTCTTTCCATTTCTATAGATGGCTTAAAGGTGAAATGGAACTGGAATATATTTGCTGGCGCACTCAGTGTTTATATTGTCTGTTATATACGTTTCGTCGTCTAGCAGATATAGAGACGTTAATACTTTATATTGTGAGGAATGAAACGCTGCTTCGAATGAGAGAGAGAGAGAGAGCTAGAGTGAGAGAGAGCTAGAGAGAGAGAGAGAGAGAGAGAGGGAGAGAGAGTTGTCTTAAGCCAAATACTGCTTTATTCCAGTTATATCACAATGATCTGTAAAGTCGATTCTGGACCAGGTAAACCAATGGTTGATAGCATAAGCAACGATGAGATTCATGACCAGGTCATACACTGTGACCATCCGGCCCACATGGGTCGACTCAAGTCGACATTATCTGTTATTCAACACTGTCAACACTATTCATTACCTTCGGGGATGCTTAAGTGTGCCCCAGATGAGATGAATACATCTTTCCGAATCGGTGAATGTTTGTTTGTTGTTGCAATATTCCAGCTTTAAGGCCGGTGTCTGTAAATAATCGAGTCTGCATGGACAAGACAATCGAGTGATTGACATCATGAGCGTCGATCTACGTATTGGAATTCGAAGACACCCAATCAGACAAGTCACCGAGCATGACAACCCGACCCATTTAATCGCCTCTTACCAGCATAGGTTGCTGGAATCCGGAATCCACATGGGGCGAATCAGTTAATAGAACCCTAAGTTACATCGATATTAGATAATTTCGGCTGACTGAAAATATTTCATTTTGTTGACGAAAGTAGTTGTGCTAGACTGGCTGTTTTCGGATCATTTCTCAGCCGTTTCCAGCGTTAATAACTCATTTAAGTTCATGGACTTTATGATGTTATACAGCCAGAAAACATCCCAGATTTAGTCCATAATATGAGTCGTATGGAGACCTAAACATTATGGGGAGGTGGGCAAGCCTAGTGGTGAAAGCAATTGCTCGTCACGCCAAAGTCACGGGTTCGATACCCAAAATGTGAGCAATGCTTCAAGCTCATTTCTGGTGTCTCCTTTCGCGAAATTGCTTAAATACTGCTACAAGGTTCATAAAACCATAGTCACTCACCAATTAACCTTTGTAAACACATGTATATAATCTTCTCACTTCACATAGCTGTACATGACTTGCTTCATAACGCTGTTGTAATAAAGAAGTATTTTATCCATAGAACCATTTCCCTACGACTGGTGCCAGTCCCTAATTCTGATTGCGAGGAATTTTTACACCACGTTAATCCATGTCATTAAACCTTTTTCAAAAAATATTTTGTTTGAAATTGACAGAAGAAGATATAATTAGGCAAAGGCGAGTCGCTTATACGGTGCTCTCTTCTGTTGGGTAATTAATAATAAAAATATTGAAGTATTACAGCGCATATGTAACGAACAAAAAAGTTAGGAGACATTAATATTTTGGGGGATGTTTTTGTAGTCAAGACGGAGAACAAATTTCATAATAATAATCCCCAAAATATTCATCATCCCCTAACTTAACCCTAACGTATATATGAAACCGATCGAAATAGTGAAGTTCAAATCACAGTTTGAATGCAAAATTTCTTAGTGGCGTTATATATTCTCAGTAATGTCCTATGTTTTCAACTAAACCTGAAGATACACAACGAGGGCCAGTTTCACCTCACCTAGTATTCCCGGTTAACAGTCTACTGTGTGTCTATTCGTACTACGACTTAATAATGTCTACACAATGAGGGCCAGTTTCACCTCACCTAGTATTCCCGGTTAACAGTCTACTAGCTGTGTGTCTATTCGTACTACGACTTAATAATGTCTACACAATGAGGGCCAGTTTCACCTCACCTAGTATTCCCGGTTAACAGTCTACTGTGTGTCTATTAGTACTACGACTTAATAATGTCTACTACCCGTGAAGATTCCGGGGTAGAATAGGTCTTCAGCAACCCATGCATGCTTGCCGTAAAAAGGTGACTATGCTTGTCGTAAAAGGCGACTAACGGGATCGGGTGGTCAGGCTCGCTGACTTGGTTGATACATGTCATCGATCCCAATTGCGTGGATCGATGCTCATGATATCAATCACTGGATTGTCTGGTCCAGACTCGATTATTTACAGACCGCCGTCATATAGCTGGAATATTGCTGAGTGCGGCGTTAAACAACAAACCAACCAACTAATAATGTCTACACAAAATTATGCTGAACTTTATTTCATGTACATCTACATAAAACAGCATAATAGGCTAGCTTACCCACGCAACACCTCTCCGTAGACGACTTGCCAGGAACATATGGGAAATCTTGTATTATGACGTCATATCCTTTCTATGACGTAGAACACAATGGAAATCATGACTGTAGTGGGTGGGCGAGATTACGTCATTTTACTGTGATGTGTGTTTTTTGTGTTCTTTCTAAGAATTGACTTTCACGTTGTGTGAGTTCATTGAAGTATAAACCTTCATTGAGTGAGGGCCAAACTGTACGAACGTCGAAACTTGTTAACTACCTCGATGGCCTACGAGTACCCGGAGAATTCTGGCCACTGCAAATCAAATACATCACAACTTTAGTTTGAAATCCCTTAATGACGTAATTTTCATAATTCATTCCATGATTTCTTCAGGCAAATTCTCTACTGGACGCCCACCGTGACTACCAGTGGAAGTGGGCGGTCGTCGACGTGAAGACGAGGAAGGTGAAAGGATGGGAGGAGCGTGCCAACAGATTCATCTCCACCAACTGCGGGCAGCACTCCATCCGGGCACCCTAGAACACGCCGTCATCCATCTTGTCCAACACTGCCATCATCCAGGAGCAGACGATAGGCATGGCCAAGGTTGACAAGTTCTATGATGCCGTGGAGAACTGTGATGACCTTGTGACCTCGGAGATGAGTCATGTGATGTCTATTTGGCAGTCACAACAGGACACAAACAAGAAACCATTTGTCAGTAAGTACACGTCAAATATTTATTCATTCATCTGTTATTTCATAAAAGGGGCATGGGTGTTCCTGCCGTTGATGTTTGCAGTGCAGATTTTAATCCTTTAATGGTGTCAGTGTATTTGCTGACAGTGGGTTCGAATCCTGGATTCTCTATAACTATAACCTTTGGTTTGACTCATACCGGTGTCTGTGAGCTTCACCACGATTGTGGACGGTCGGCGTCACTTTAGTAGTTAGGTCTTCCTCGTGTGACTGAAAACCAGAAGTGTTAAACCCTACTCACTCACTTACACAATTTCATAAAACAGAATTTGGCCAAATGTGCATTCTACAAATAACAACTTAACCAGAGTTAAAAAGAGCTTTTCTTCGTTTTAACGTTTATTCACGTGTTCGTTACCTTGGTGAATTATTTGTTTGTTGTCGCCGCACTCAACAATATTCTAGCTACATGACGGGGTCTGTAAATAATCGAGTCTGGACCAGACAATCCAGTGATTGACATCATCAGCATCGATCTAAGGAATACGATGACATGCATCAACCAAGTCAGTGGGTCTGACCACCCGATCCCGTTTGTCGCCTCTTACGACAAGCATAGTCGCCTTTTACAGCAAGCATGGGTTGCTGAAGACCAATTCTAATCCCACGGGTTCCCGCGCTGTTCTCTGTCCATCTTGTCTATATAGATTGTAGATTGTTCCTGCACAGTATGACAAACTTAATTACATTTTCAGTTACAGAAAAGGAGAAGACGGTAGCTTTTAAACCAAGGAAACAACGTAAACAGAAGCCAAGAAGCCACAGGTCATTTCTCAGAAAGGTTCCCGGACTTGTCTGACATGCGACCATCTTCCTGAGTGACTGTTATTACTGGTTGGAGTGGATGCGTTGTCATGGATACAGAACTGTAAATAAAGCGTATTTTCTGAGAAGAGTTTGTACATGTATATACATAATATAGTAAATGCTGCATAGTATCATCTTGTAAATACGAGGGGCGTTCAATACGTTTTGCAACTTCAATATAAGACCAAGTCGCAGAATATCTTTTGCACTTTTATTTTTCAATATAATCTCCATTCACCTCAATACACTTATTCCATTTGTCCTTCAAGCTTTTAATACCACTTTTATAGAAATCCGCAGATTGTCCCTCTAACCACGCCTCTGTGGCAGCCTTTATGTCCTCGTCTTCCTGGAAGCGTCTTCCACGTAGGGCAGATTTTATTTGCCGGAACAGGAAATTGTCACTGGGGGCTAAGTCTGGGCTGTAGGGTGGGTGATTTAACTGTTCGGATCCACATTCACATATAGGGGCCTGTGCAATTCTCGACTTGTGAACCGGAGCGTTGTCATGCAAAAGTAGAATATCACGTGTTAACATCCCACTGCGTTTCTGGTAAATAGATTTTCGCAATTCTTTCATTACATTAGCATAATACTGTCCATTGATTGTAGTTTTTGGTAGCATGTAATCAATCAGTAATATACCTCTTGCATCCTAATATATGGTGGCCATTACCTTGCCAGCCGATGGTTGAGTGCGAAACTTCCCCGGAGGCCGAGCATTGGGGTGCTTCCATTGCATGGTTTTGAATTTAGTTTCTTGGTCCCAGTGGTGGAACCATGTTTCATCGCCTGTCACAAGACGAGAAAGAAATCCAGCTTCATCAGCAGTATAGAGATCCAGGAAGTCTCGACAACTTTCAGTTCTCTGATGGCGATCTTGAGCTCTGAGGTTTCTAGGTACCCATCTTGCAGATACCTTGGACATACCAAGATGCTCATGAATAATGGTTACAACAGTTCCAACCGATGTTTGAAATTCCCTAGAAAGTTCAGATACTTTCACTCGTCGGTCAGACAAAATTCTTCTTTCTATAGCAGCAATGATTTCCGGTTGGGTGACATCTGAAGGCCTGCCTGACCTTGGGTCATCGTCTATGGACGCCCTACCCCTTTTCAACTGTAGAGACCAACGGCAAACTGTGGAATAGTCAGGAACACCCTTACCCATCACATTACACATGCGATCATGGATCTCTTTTGCTTTGCATCCCTTCTTGATAAGGAACTTTATTACAGCGCGTTGTTCATGTTTGAGAGAATCCATGATTGTGACCACCCCTATGTGAATGAAGCCATTACATCTAACTTATTGTTGTGTCAGGAACTTGTTATGACACGTGTCAACCTGATGTTATGACTAGTGTCACACCTGCCACAAGTTGACATTGTTTGTGTAAACACAAATGCCCAAGTTGCAAAACTTATTGAACGTCCCTCGTATTACCAAAATTCGTTCAAATATATTGTCATTGCATGGAAAACAAAATTACAAATCGTGTTATGTTTGTGCTGTACAGTTGGTGCTGTAAATAGAAGTAGCATGTCATGTGTACATACAGCGATCAAACAGAATTACCGTATTCGACGTAATAAGAGCCCAGGGCTCTCTCAAAATTAGAAATAGGGGGCTCTTATTAGAATATTATTTAAGGATAAATTTCGTGGTTTATGCTGACAGCCTGACATGTTTATATACGACAAATATATTTTTCCAGAATTTAATTGCCCATAATTTAGGGTGCATATAACACACGAGTGCGTATTATACGCGAATAAATAAATCTTGTGTACATTGATCGATCGGAATGGGTGCTAATTCGGATTGTTCACTAGCCAATATATTAGCAAATATCGCTGTAGGCGCTTATTAGAGCGGGGCGCTTATTACGTCGAATACGGTAAAACCCATTCTCAAAACATACATAAGTCAGTGTTGTGGTGTTTCCTTAACCATCATGATGAGCGATGTGAAAGTTCGCACATGCTCTAGTCTGTTCGATGAACACAAATGTCACATGACAGATCATTTACATACGTCTTTCTGACTCACATCGCTTACAACCACGTGATGTCCTGACGATGTCGATGTCGTCCCTTCTGTATAAACTGTCCAGCTAAAGAGAGTGATGGTGACTCTAAATAAGCGAGTCTCGGCCAGGGCGAGCCTGTGTCTGGCACACATTCAGCCATTCTGACACATAGGTGCATTCGTGGGATCTGGCATTCCTCTTTAGGTGTACGAGCGTGGATTTGACTTTACCCTTGACGTGTACGAGCGTGAATTTGACTTTACCCTTGAGATGTACGAGCGTGAATCTGACTTTACCCTTGACGTGTACGAGCGTGAATCTGACTTTACTGGAGGTGTACGAGCGTGAATTTGACTTGACCCTTGACGTGTACGAGCGTGAATCTGACTTTACTGGAGGTGTACGAGCGTGAATTTGACTTGACCCTTGACGTGTACGAGCGTGAATCTGACTTTACTGGAGGTGTACGAGCGTGAATTTGACTTGACCCTTGACGTGTACGAGCGTGAATCTGACTATTCCTTTGAGATGTACGAGCGTGAATCTGACTTTACTGGAGGTGTACGAGCGTGAATCTGACTTTTCATTTAGGTGTAAGAGCGTGAATCTGCCTTTTCCCTTGAGGTGTACGAGCGTGAATTTGCCTTTACCCTTGAGGTATACGAGCGTGAATCTGACTTTACTCTTGATGTGTACGAGCGTGAATCTGACTTTACTCTTAAGCTGTACCAGTAAAATAAACGTTTCTGTTAAGGAGTATATGCGCGAATCTTGCTTACTGTGTATATATTTCCTCTTCAAGGCGTATGAACGTGAATCTGGATTTCCTCGTCTTCATAAGGTGTTCATATGTGAATCTGACTTTCCTCTTAAAGGGTGTACATGCGTGAACCAGCCAGTGGTGTTTATGCGAGAATTAGGTTTTCTTCATAAAAGTGCACATACGTGAATCTAGCTTTCTTCATAAAGGTGTATATATACAGGAACCTAGATTTACAAAGGAAGAACATAGGCGTACATGTTGTCTACTAGTCAAGATGATGGATTGGACATGTAAAAATACCTGACAAGGACTATTCCTCTTGATTTGTGAGATAAAATACAAGGTCGGTTATGTGAAAAACATTTTATTACAGGATAAGAAACTAAGAAATGTTTGGCACAGGCAAATGATACACATGTACACATAAAAAGACTAAATAAGTTATTATACAAGTAGTGTGTAGCAGGAAACTTTTAATCTCATTATTATAAACGTATCTGATGTGTAATAAAACCCAGTTTACATGTCCTTACTGTCTATCAACACCAGTCAACACAGCAGTGCTGCCATGGTTACTGCAACCATAGCAACCAATCTTCACTGTAGCCTTAGGCACAACCATGCAACCCTAGAGTATCAGTTCAAGTCATATTGTCCCAACAACTTGCATCACCTTGGGACAAAGTATTTAACATGACACAATTAGTTCAAAACATGATTACAAATTCTGTGTTCATACCTTGTGAGCAAATCAACATGAACAAGTCGAAGGCTATCTTACTTTCCTTTAATGATGCCATTATGGCCAGGCACAAATATGTTGGTTTTGGGGATTGTTGTTATACTGCACAAAAGAAGTTAAACAACAACTGATTCTTTCATATTACCATAGGAAATATAAAATAATCAGGTGGTCCTTAACATCTCTTGAGTCGTATATTTTTGTGAAAACGCTTATGGTATATTTTTGTGAAAAACGTTTTACAAGGTTTTTTCACTGGTTAATAAATGCCATCAATATCAGTTTGTCCTGTTAATAACACAACCTGGATGGTAAATCAGTGATTGATATTGAGTATGGTCATGTAGCGACAAAAAACATTCAACCCGTCAAATCACCCAGAGTTATTACCACTCAATCCTCATGGGACAAGCATAGGTCACAGAGACCTGTTGTTATCCCGGAATCCCCATGGGGCCTATAACAAGATATTAAGTTGGTCTGATCTTGTTCCTCTTCCATTTATGACATTATATAATATTTTATACATCAAACAAGACACATATATTGGATTTGGACGACAACTGTCACTAAACTTTTACTCTTACAATTTTGCGATATTTAAAATATTTAAACATTCTAAAGGCCTGGATTTATAGACTGCAACAAAACAGGATGTGAAAATATCCATTGGCAGAGGTCTTGGATTGTTATTAACATTTATGATACATGAAACAATTTGTAAGTCTTAACACCAGTACATGATCAGGATCTTTTTCAATCAAACCTGTCAAAAAGGTTTCCTTTGAAGAATAAATTCATAAACCACAATGTTGAGCTCACTAAGCAAATAAAAACATGCACAGATACACTTGTAAAAAAAACCATGACCAGATAATGCCACATTTTATGTCATGAAACAAATATACTGACCAATGAATCTTACACTCACTCACACATTCACACATGGACCAGAAAATACTGGAATTATCAGCTTCAGTTATTATGATGTCCTGCTGGTGAATTCCTTGTCTCCAAGAACTCGCCATTCTGTCCCAGTAAGGACATTGGTGTAACAGTTATATTTTTATTTGTGTTTCAAAACATGAATACAAATGATCATTTTCCTGTTAGATGTAATTTTTGGGTTATAGCTTCAGATGACATTTGCATCTGACAACAAATAATTTGTCCATTAATTCGGGCAAATCTCACCAAGAAGATACACTGATGGGTCCACACAAGGATGTGCATGGTTCATTGATGCTGCCTTTCTAAGCCTGATAAAACATGGTTCTGTGTGTTACTGAAAGAACAGAACTCTTCACTACTTACAGAATACAAGACATTCAACATGTCTTTCTGTTATGGGCAACATTCAACATGTCTTTCTGTTATTGGCAACATTCAACATGTCTTTCTGTTATGGGCAACATTCAACATGTCTTTCTGTTACTGGCAACATTCAACATGTCTTTCTGTTATGGGCAACATTCAACATGTCTTTCTGTTATGGGCAACATTCAACATGTCTTTCTGTTACTGGCAACATTCAACATGTCTTTCTGTTATGGGCAACATTCTCTCTCAACATGTCTTTCTTTTATTGACAACATTCAACATGTATTTGTTATGTGCAACATTCAACAAGTCTTTCTGTTATGTGCAACATTCAACATGTCTTTCTGTTATGGGCAACATTCAACATGTCTTTCTGTTATTGGCAACATTCAACATGTCTTTCTGTTACGGGCAACATTCAACATGTCTTTCTGTTATGGGCAACATTCAACATGTCTTTCTGTTATGGGTAACATTCAACATGTCTTTCTGTTACTGGCAACATTCAACATGTCTTTCTGTTATGGGCAACATTCTCTCTCAACATGTCTTTCTTTTATTGACAACATTCAACATGTCTTTCTGTTACGGGCAACATTCAAAATGTCTTTCTGTTACGGGCAACATTCAACATGTCTTTCTGTAACTGGCAACATTCAACATGTCTTTGTTATGTGCAACATTCAACATGTCTTTCTGTTATGTGCAACATTCAACATGTCTTTCTGTTATGGGCAACATTCAACATGTCTTTCAACTTACCAAGGTTTTAGGTAGCATTCATCAGATGTTATACTACCATGGTTATGTGTAGCATTCAACATGTTTCCAAAAATTATCAATGAAACAAGTAGCATTTTTTCCAACAAGTAATATTTAGCGTGTTTCAAATTATCATAATCACAGCTAGCAAATTTAACAAGTCTTTCTGTAGACAAGGATGTCTTAAAGATTACAGGTAGCATCAACATGTCCTTTTGTTTACAGGTATAAAATAAACTTACCGTTTGATACCTATAATATATTATGTGGTATCAAACACAAAAGGGTGAGGTTTCAAATTCCTCATTCCGAAAAGCCAAATCAACGATAACTTCCCTCAAACTTCACAACACATTAGGTTCCTCTCCCTTCTATCATGAGATGAAACGCAAAGTCTGTTAATAAGTAATGTGGCACTTGTTGAGTAGGCTGCTATTGCAATTACTTCTTTAAGTGGCATTTAGAAGTTGGCATGATGAACAAGGGATATAGTTTCATGGATATACAACCTCTGTATAACAATGACTGCCATGTTTCTGTGTAGATATTGCAAATAATTTCCGTGAGTGGTGAGTAATGTGGTTTTACGCCGTTTTTAGCAATATTCCAGCAATATCACGACGGGGGGACACCAGCAATGGGCTTCACACATTGTACTCATGTTGGGAATCGAACCCGTGTCTTCGGCATGACAAGCGAACGCTTAAACCACTAGGCTACCAGACTGCCTCAATAATTTCTGTGTCAACTTAGAGACTTGTCATCATCATTATTGCAGGAATAAAATTATACATGGACTATTGAATGATTACTAGTCCACATGTAACATTGCTAGCCCTGGGATAACAAGCCAGGTGGTTTTCAATGCTCGGGACTCTCCCATGATGCCCTGTTGATATTAATGACATATATCGAGGGGTGGTGGTAACACACAATATGCCACTCTATGGAAATATTGACAATGAATTTATTTCATGTGCTGGACTGATTGATGCAACAGTGCATCATAGTTTTTAAGTGAGTGAGGTTTAATGCGCTTTTGACATTATTTCCTTTCAATTACAATGAGTCAGCTTAATGTGTGAGGTAAGCCCAAATTCACGCAGAATGATGCCACAATACTGAAACTCTCATGACCAGGGTCATTGGCAGAACTAAGGGATGTAACTCTGCATAGTGGCATAGTCGCCTTTTACGGCAAGCATGGGTTGCTGAAGACCTATTCTACCCCCAATCTTCATGGGTCCCCTGTATCAACACACCATACTCATATCATTATTATTCGCTAGAACATGACTCAGGCATACTGGCAGTAAAAGTTTGATGAAAGTTAGATAACTAAAAGTTACGATATGAAGATCTCAATTGGAGAAATGCATCACTCCATGAAGGACAGTCAAACAGGAAATCATTTTTTTTATGAACATGTCTCTGAGCATGTTGAGTGGAATTTCATTCCTTGATCCCCACTTGTGATGAAGGTGATACAAATTGACATCGCATCAGCGCCAAAAATTGAACTGTGTACCGAAAAGAATAATTATTGCTTGGCACTGGTAATACACAAGAAACCAATCACTTGTTGAGGTATGTGATAACATTCATGTCAGTACAGTTAAAATACTTCTGATCTTGAGTGTCCTTGATCTTCCTGAAGTGCCATGTGACCAATCTTGACCATACTTCTTGGCATCTTCCTGAGGCAAGGGTGTTAACTGACCATAAAAGGCCAGTTTCCACCCTTGCCAAACTATGCTGGAATTCCGGAGATACATTTTGGGAGTCCCTGCATTGTCCAATCAAAATTGGGTAACGAACAAGACATCTGGTTTGCAAACAAGATAGATTTCAACATGCAGATCTTAGTCCATTGCAGAATTTGCAAAGCATGTGTACTGTCAACTGGGCATCGACAGATTTGTGCAAATCTTTTCATGTTCTTAATCAATGATTAAGTCACCTCACGGGGTAAGACCCGGTTTATAACAAAATAGATCTTGATTATCGATCAGATGGTCTTCCTTTGCGCCACCATCTTGTTTAAAGCAAATGCATCTGATATGAGAGATGGAATCTGATTTGTCAACAGGGACATTGATCGATGCTATGATCGATACTGGAAATTCCAGCCTGGTACAACAAGGGTGAAAACTTGACTTTCATAGTCAGTTAACGCCCTTGCCTCAGGAAGATGACCTCTTGGACTACCAGGCGTTGTTAACAACCGACCCGTCCTGGTCCCGCTGACTGTAACTACAATACCTTAACATAGACCTACAGGTCCTTGAGGTTAGCTCTTGGGGTCACTAAATATTAGTTCTAACACTAGAGTTATGATGCGGACCCCTTGATTTTAATGCTAGTATTATTGTATGAAGCTTGATTGCTTCATGAAACCAGACACAGGCAAGGTTATGTTGGTTTCAGTATGTGATTCTCCTTGCGAGACTTTCAATGGAATTTGAATGTCCACTATGTCATCCACAGAACAATAACCACTGCATGATGAGAACATAGACAAAAAGCACGATGTCTGTAAATGTCAAGAAATGCTAGTCCAACATATTTTCTTGTTTCATGAGCCTGCCTTAAGTTAAAAAATAATAAAATAATAATGCCAAGTTGGACAAAAAATATGCTTCTTTGGGAGATCATTCTGTGTGGTTTTCATTGTTTTAATGTCAATTGGAAATTAACATCCAATCAAACCAAAAAACAGTTTTCCAATACTTCCTGCCTCCTGAATCTTGGCATGAATCTCTCATATGAATGAAAATATATTGGGCCGGCCTGATTGAAAGATAACAATTACCTTGCCTGTGCACTGAAAAGACAACCCTTAAAGCAGACATTAGCCACACTCTACAGACTGGGGGAGTAAAAATATAACACTTCTTATACCATGGAATGAGCAGAATTAGCCTGAATCCAAAACACCTAAAACACAGGAGATGAGGACACTTTTGAGTCATCGAGCACACTCCCGCTGTCTGTTCCATTCTCACATGTGGTCTTTCTAGCAGGGGCTCTACAGTGACTTGGACTAGCAGACTTTGTCCTAGTCACATTCGGAATACTTGTCCCTAATCTCTGGCTTCCTGAAGGACTTTCACGTGACCTTGCCCTCACACCCTGACCTGGCCTTGACCTCACTCGTTGAGGTCTTGACCTTTCACCTTTGACTTCTGCTGCTGAAGCACCAGTAACAGTGGTTGTTTTAGCTGGCTGTCGAATTCTCGGAGATGGGGACCCTACCCTGGCAGTCGATCCACTTGTTTCTCCCATTTCGGCTTTCCGCGACCTTGCAGCTTGGGCCTCAGCTCGTGAATGCGGCCTCCGAGCAACGGTAACATTTGAACTGTTTGTATTAAGACTAGCCTCTCGTTTCACAGTTGGCTTACCAACTTCATGACTGCCTGGTTTGCTAGTTGAAGGCTCTACTTGCTCTATTTCTTTTTCTAAAATATTGTTCACAAATGAAAAGGCATCTTTTGATTGACCGCTGTCTGAGTCTTTCTTTGTGGTCTCTCCAGTAGAAGCTTGTGTCTGTCCCTGTTGAGGGGTTTCTAGTTGGGCACTCTCATCAGCACCATCCGACTTGGCTTTCCTCGACCGGGTCCGCTGCACCTGTCCTCTGCTCGCATCAACGTCCATGCTGTCATTATTAAAAGGCTGTAAGATTGCACTATCAACTCTGATTTCCTGCTCCTTCTCTTCCAGGTCAAGCAAGCAGATTTCGGGACTTCGTTTTGTGGCCTCGGGCCGATCTGTTTCATCATCTGTAACAAGAGGGATTGAGTGAGTAGCGTTAATAACACTTTCAACCATTAGGCTAGAAATATCATTCGTCACCACTCACCCCTTTCCGTAACCTGCAAGAAGACTCGTCTCTCTATCCATGAATGTTATGTGCAAAAATATGACAAACCCCTCGAAATATGGGTAAGACTACAAGTACTTCAGTCAAAGAATCTCTCATGAATAATTTTTTATTTTACTTGTGTCTTCCATCTAAAAATATACCTAAGATACAGTTAAATGTGTTCAATCATACAGTATAAATTCTTAAAGTCCCAATGTGTTTTAATAGCATCTGGACGATATATGTCATGGGGTAAATATACGTGAATCATTATTCAACAAGTTGACAATTCTTTTAACAATGCCCGTTTGTGCCTAGTCGGTTCCCAGTCGCAAAAATGGCCATGAGAGAGGCACGAACTTGTCACGAAATAACACGAGTTGGTCACAAATGTAGCACATGTGAGTTTCTTGATCACAAATTGAGACGAGCTCAGTCAATCTTTTGTTGGAACATCTTCAAAATGAACATGTGTTGTGTCAAATGCAATAGATGTCATACATTATTTGGGACAATGCACCAATATGATGTTGCTACTGTATGAAATCGTGGTGTATGGGTGTACAGGTATATGTGTCATCAGCCACTTCCCCACAAAAAAGACAATGAAAAAAATCGGTGTTCACTCAAACGTAGCAAGTAGTAAAAATTATAATCAGCATGATTGAACAGTGAGTGAGTGAGTGTGTGTGTTGGGTTTATCGCCGATTTGAACAGAATTCTAGTTATATTAGTTATATATATGTTGGAGGAAAAAATTGCTTGATGGGCATTACTTAGAAGTTGACGGATGACAAGGTAGACACAATTTTATGGATAACAACATCGCTTTTTACAGTATTAAAGAAGTTGTTATCCATAAAATTGTGTCTACCATGTGCCCGAAATAATGCAGGTCTCAGACGTTTACCACTTCGGTGAAACCCACGGGCATGGGTATGGTGCTGACAAACCTAGAAACATAATAAACATAATAAAGTGCGAACTGGGTACCGAACCCACAATCATTGGTTTCTGGCATGCCCAAGGGACGCAACTCTGCAAAGTGACTCGCGGCACCTTAGACGAAAAATACTGAAAAATAAGGTCCCCAATATCTGTATCTGTATTGCATATCAGGTCCGAAAAATATTTTCAATAGAATGTACTTGCCTTCAATGCTGATCTGCCTGGGTCTGCGGCTGGTCTCGCTGATACTGACTCTCAGTCTGTGTTCACTACGACCTGTGTTCAGCTTGAAGGCCTGGGCTGCCACTGGGCTGACAGGGGAGACAACTTCTGCTGGCGTGGGACTTGGGGGTTTCTGTGCAGCTTTTCTCTCCGCTTTCATCTTCTCCTCTTGTTCCAGGAGTCGGTATGACATCAGTTTGACTTCTTCCTCCAGAGTTGACAGGCTCTCCTCACTCTTCTCCACCTCCTGCGAAAGCCCCTGTGGAAGGAGGGAGGATATGAAAGAGAAAAATTTGGTTTTGATGAATCAGTTTTCGTCTCCTGCTCCATACAATCCATTCTTATCATACGGGCCTATTACCCTTGTATCATGATGATCAGCAAATGAGTAGACAGAAATGAATTATACTCGAGAAAGACTTCCAAGCAGTGGCAAAATTCACGGTCTAAGAAGCAGCAATTGATCCTTCATCATAACCTGCGAATACTTCATCATCCAGGTTATCATAGTGATTGAATTCTAAAGTCACTAGGTTGGGAGGGTGGGTGGTGGAGGAGGGTGGTGGTTAAAAGAGGGAGAGGGGAGGAGAAAGAGGAGATACAACAACAATCCACACAATGTGTGGAGGGGGACATACCTGTAGTCTTGTGTGGAGGCTTGTAGACATTCCCTGAATCTTGTTGATCTCCAACATGGCACCAGAACCAGACACAAACTCACCCCTATGTACAGGAAACAACAGATGACATGTTACCCTCACAACTAATCATGTGGATTGTCAGTTAGGGTTGGAAATTGGCACTAGTCCTATAGTCCTTGCCAAACTGTCCAATGGTAAAGGTATCATAAGGACTAGTAGAAAATTGTCATTTTTAAGGGTTTTGCTACATGTTATCATTATAAGGACTAGTGGACGAAAACTGTTAGTTTCTAACGCTGGTTACCCTCACAACTAATCATGTGGATTGTCAGTTACATCTGTTAGAATGTTTTCCACATGCAGGGTTTTACTGGATGTATACATAACATTGCTTCCTCCACACCAAGTACCTACATTATATGTAAATTGAGAATGGACGCAATTAATATGCACTGCAAGACCCACTAGAAGCAAAAATATATATCTGTATGTTTGTTTGTTGTTTAACAGGGCACTCAGCAATATTCCATCTACATGACGGCAGAATGTCTGTTTGAATCCCCAAAATGAATTGAAGCAGATGCATGTTGAATAAGGGTTTCAGATCCATTCACTTTCAAGAATATTGACCATATGTCATCCAAAATGCCCCTAAGATCACCGGTAGAAACTAATGTTTTTAGTCCACTAGTCCTTATAGTGATAACATATAGCAAAACCCTTATAAACGGCAAATTTCTACTTGTCCTTATGATACCTTAACTATTGGCCAGTTTGGAAAGGACTACAGGACTAGTGCCAACTTCTTACACTGAAGTATATTCAAGATTGTTTTCAAATTTGGTATTGATATACAAGAATATACCAGCAAGTGTGGATGAAATCATGAATGTGTCCAAATGGAATTTGATCAGATCAGAAATGCATGACACTTCAAACTGTCTATGTCTGGTCTATGTCCAAACAAGTTTCACTTCACACCAGGAGAGCTATAAAGTATAATCAACTCTTGGAAGTCATGCAACCCGCCTGTAGGTGAGATGATTACCATCAGACCCACTCATAGTTTGAGTGAAAGAGTGAGTCGGACTTAATGCAGCTTTATCATGTATATTTCAGCATTTCAGTCATAAGGCATGTATGCACAGAGTTGGATGAAGGCCTAAACTCAATCACCTAGTAGAGTGAGTGAGTTGGCCTTAACACCCCTTTGAACAGTATTCCAGTTATATCGTGGCGTGTCAGCTTAATGTGGGTGGAAAGCCAAAAATGATGCAGGTCTCGGGCATTTACCACTTTGGTAACTAGAAACATAATCCGGGTGAACTGCTGTTTAAACACACAATACATTCCAAAAATACCGACATACTGCATTTTTCAAAATCACGCATATTTTTATCTTGTTGGCAAATAATATGTTATAATGTATCTATTCTGGATGCTTTGAGACCAAAGCAACATTCATCAAAATGGTCAACGACTTCGAAGTAGTAACAAATGTGGGGGAGGGGGAAATGCCTGATGTATTGGTCCATTTGGGTTATTTTTATTCAGGTCTTATTCATAACAAATTACAAATGAAAAGAACACATGCAAAATATCAGATATATTGAGGTACGAATTGCAATACATAAATAATTATTGCAATAAATTCCAATATGAAAGTCAGGCCATTACCCATGACTCTGGGTACCTGGGCATGACCCTGGGCACAAAATCAAATATCCAAATGTACTTCCTTGGGTCCTCTCGAAATATACTGTGAACTATATCAAATGTGTTGGTTGGTTGGTTTGTTGTTTAACGCCGCACTCAGCAATATTCCAGCTATATGACGGTGGTCTGTAAATAATAGAGTCTGGACCAGACAATCCAGTGATTAATATCATGAGCATCGATCCACGCAATTGGGATCGATGACATGCATCAACCAAGTCAGCAAGCCTGACCACCCGATCCCGTTAGTCGCCTTTTACGACAAGCATAATCACTTTTTACGGCAAGCATGGGTTGCTGGAGACCTATTCTACCCCGGAATCTTCACGGGTCATATCAAATGTGTGGTTAGTGGTCACGCAAGTATTTGGGGAAGGGGTCTTACTGGAACTGGTTAATAACTGTGGTGAGAGAGCCCCCCTGGGGGTTGACGGTCAGGTTGCCTCGAGTCTTGTACTCTGTGTGCGTGGTGTCTCCCAAGTTGATCACTCTCATCGCAACCTTCTGGAATTTACTGTAACAGAACAAGTGCTTGAGATCACTTTTTATTATCAGATTGTTTGTTTGTTTGTTGTTTAACGCAGCACTCAGCAATATTCCAGCTATATGATGCTGTCTGTAAATAATCGAGTCTGGACCAGACAATCCAGTGATTGACATCATGAGCATCGATCTACGCAATGTGGATACGATGACATGCATCATCCAAGTCAGCAAGCCTGACCACCTGATCCTGTTAGCACCTCTTATGACATGCATAGTCGCCTGTTACGGCAAAAATGGGTTGCTGAAGACCTATTCTACCCCGGATCTTCACATGGTCTTTTATTATCAATATAGGCAAGACCTAATGTATGCTGTAATCAAACCAACAGCACAATAAAGTCCTCAGTAATACAGTAATCAAAGTAACCGGAGCAACAACAGGTGTCACTAATGGGTCTTCAGAAAAAAAGTAGGGCTGGCTAAAATTATCATCGATGGGAAGAAATATTAACAATTATCGATATGAAATTGTTGTCAGCTGTAATAACTTACATAAACTATAGCAATGAAATAATGGTTAGATTTACTAAACAGACTTGTCATTGTCAATCATGTCAATTGTCGAGGATGGTTTGTTTGTTTGTTTGTTGTTTAACGCCGCACTCAGCAATATTCCAGCTATATGACGGCAGTCTGTAAATAATCGAGTCTGGACCAGACAATCCAGTGATTAATATCATGAGCATCGATCCACGCAATTGGGATCAATGACATGCATCAACCAAGTCAGCGAGCCTGACCACCCGATCCCGTTAGTCGCCTTTTACGACAAGCATAGTCGCCTTTTACGGCAAGTATGGGTTGCTGAAGACCTATTCTACCCCAGAATCTTCACGGGTTTTGTCGAGTGGAAATCTACTGTATTTGTTATATGTCAAATGTCCACAAACTAATCCATGCTTACCGGGGTAAATGTGACACAGCTCACCAGTGGCTTCAAATATGTTGATTTATTTCAAGAGTTTCTGGCACATTTGCTCAAAGTTACTTCTCTGATACTTATTGATAATTGATCAATATTTAGTTAGCGATTATTGATCTCTATGATCTATATCGATAGCCAGCCTTAGAAACAAGATACAATGATTCAAAATAAGAACTCTACTGTTCTCAATTATCCAGTGTAATAAATCTCAATTCTATTTTGACAAATACCCTGGACCCATTCGTCACCATAGAATCGTCTCGACTCAGGTTTAAATGACACAATGACAAAAATAGCCAATGAGACTGTTCTTTCATGATAGAAGGTGAAATGGAGTTTAACATCGCATTCAAGATTATTACACTTATATAGCAACTTGCATGCACGTGTGTGTCTGTGTGTGGGTGGCTGCTTGTACTAGTCCGGACGGATGCCGATTTATAGTGCTAGCACACTGAATTACCATGCCGCAGTTTAACATGAATACCCCACTCAGACACAGTATACTGACTCCAAGCCGACCAGTCTTTGTTTTAGTCCCTTAATGCCGAGCGCCAGACAGGGTAACAACAAGTACCATCTTTTAACGTCTTTTGGTATGACGCGGTCGGGGATCAAACCTCGATACCTTCCGCTCTCCGGGCGGACGCTCTACCACTAGACCACGGAGGCGGTCTTTCATGATAGAAACAAGTGGGAGATATCCCACATCTTGACTCACATACATCCAGAAACATCTTGTGGTGTCAGGACTTTAGACGTTATCGTCTCCCATCCCACCTGCTAATTTTTTTATACAAGAGATGAAGGTGTGAACGAGTCCAAAGTATACAACAACATAGAAAGGATAATTGGGGATGAATGAGTGAGTGAGTATGGTTTTACGCTGATGTTAGCAATATTCCAGAAACATCACGGCGGGGGACACCAGAAATGGGCTTCACACATTGTACCCATGTCAGAAATTGAACTCGGGTCTTCGGCGTTACGATCGAACGCTTTAACCACTAAGCATCTTCCCAAGCAAGAGAGTTAACTGACTATAAAAGTTCAGTTTTCACCCTTGCCGAACTAGGCTGGTATTATGGAGTTACATTTTGGCTGGACTAACGAGTCTATGCATAGTCCAATCAAAATCGCGCACCGAAATCGAAATCCGGTTCGTAAACTGTCGTGCAGATTTCGGTCGATTGCAGGATTTGCAAAGCATGTGCTCCGCCAACTCGTTGTCAGCAGATATTTTCCAAATCTTTTCATGTTTTTAATCAAGGTGCTCACGTGATTTGATGCATTTCGCTATGTAAAACCCGTCTTATCACAATATAGATCTTGATTATTGATCAGATCGTCCTGACCGGGCGCCACCATTTTGTGTGAAGCAAACACAAGTGATACGAGAGGTGAAATCTGATTGGTCCATAGGAGAGGCTTAGAAGAGACATAACTGGTAATAGCCACTGGTGGCGCTACGATCGAGCCCAGTATTTCCAGCTTAGTTCGGCAAGGGTGGAAACTGGACTTTTAAAGTCAGTTAACACCTCTTGCCTCGGGAAGATGACCACAAAGCTACCCGACCGTAATTGGGGGTGAAGTCGACTTACCCATTGTGGTTACGAAGTAGGGCATGATCGAAAGTGTGGGTGGCCTTATTGTAGGACAGGGAGGTGGAGCACAGGAGGAAGAGAAAGTTGCTGTTTTCCTGCACTGGCAGACTCTCGATCAAGTTACGATGCAGGTTAGTTTCTCTCAGTGACGGACGTAGGGTTGAATTCCGGCGAAACTTGTACCAACCAATCAAATCCTGGAACAAAAGCAAGCAATTTATTTTAAAATTACTTCAATATTTAGTGTTTATGGAGGCATAAATACTGGTGTGCAAACTGTGTAAATCTGCATAGTGAATTTACTTAAAGGGTGCCCATTGAGGTTTAGGTTTACGCCCAAACAAACGCAGAAAAACATATTAAATTCAATTCTCATAAATAAACATAATTCACAGTTTGCTTATTTAATCATTAATACAACAATCGTTCACATCAATACGAAATCTCTTTACCATTGACTCAACACAGATCTGATGACACCCCATTACGGGTCACATCAAAATAACCTTTCATGAACATTGATCGACCAATGAAATGACTAACATGAAGTTGACACTAGACAATCAGAAAGCAGTTTTCTCGGGCTTTACGGTGTTTGTTTAAAACTTGTGACTTTATATTCAATGAAAATTTGAAAATTGAACAAAACAAAATTCTGGAATGTCTAAAAGATGGTCGATACTAAATGGCAGTTTCCCACCAGCTATCGAAAGTCTTGTTTCAAATCTGTACCCCTTTGAAGCGAGAGATAGTCCTCCCGTAACTGTCATTCAGAAAACCCAGTGTAAACAATTTCGAGGTTGCATGGTAAGAAAACACATTCTGACTGTCACTTTTCCGATCTGGTAAGTGATGTTCTGATTGGTCAAATGAAAGACCGTTCTGACGTGACCCATAATGGGATGTCCTTAGATTTATTTTAGCTATATCAAGAACTAGGATCTGATTTTAATGAGATTGGGAATATGCTTGCTGAGCACTCAAATGCAATGGAATCACTTGCAATTTATATATTTGGTACAGGCATATAATAGCATCTCCTCTTATGACTTGTCTTGTAGCCATTTTGAATGTTACATGATCTTGTTCATAAAATATTCGTATTGATCTTTTTCTGATTTGGTATTATTACAAGAAAGTTATTTATTCAGAGTAAACTTATGTAAACATGGTTAAAGCAGACCTTACAGCTGTGAATTCATTGACCGCCTTATGGAGGATTTGTATAGTTTTAAGCCACATTCTAACAATATGAGGGCAGGTGACACAATATGAGGGCAAGTGACACAATATGAGGGCAGGTGACACAATATGAGGGCAGGTGACACAATATGAGGGCAAGTGACACAATATGAGGGCAAGTGACACAATATGTGGGCAGGTGACACAATATGAGGGTAGGTGACACAATATGTGGGCAGGTGACACAATATGAGGGCAGGTGACACAATATGAGGGCAGGTGACACAATATGTGGGCAGGTGACACAATATGAGGGTAGGTGACACAATATGAGGGCAGGTGACACAATATGAGGGCAAGTGACACAATATGAGGGCAGGTGACAATATGAGGGTAGGTGACACAATATGAGAGCAAGTGACACAATATGAGGGCAGGTGACACAATATGAGGGCAGGTGACACAATATGAGAGCAAGTGACACAATATCAGGGCAGGTGACACAATATATGAGGGCAGGTGACACAATATGAGGGCAAGTGAAACAATATGAGGGTAGGTGACACAATATGAGGGCAGGTGACACAATATGAGGGTAGGTGACACAATATGAGGGTAGGTGACGCAATATGAGAGCAAGTGACACAATATCAGGGCAGGTGACACAATATGAGGGTAGGTGACACAATATGAGGGAAGGTGACACAATATGAGGGCAAGTGACACAATATGAGGGCAGGTGACACAATATGAGGGTAGGTGACACAATATGAGGGCAGGTGATACAATATGAGGGTAGGTGACACAATATGAGGGTAGGTGACGCAATATGAGAGCAAGTGACACAATATGAGGGCAGGTGACACAATATGAGGGTAGGTGACACAATATGAGGGAAGGTGACTCAATATGAGGGCAAGTGACACAATATGAGGGTAGGTGACAATATGAGGGAAGGTGACACAATATGAGGGCAGGTGACACAATATGAGGGCAGGTGACACAATATGAGGGCAGGTGACACAATATGAGGGCAAGTGACACAATATGAGGTTAGGTGACAGTATGAGGGTAAGTGACACAATAATAGGGCAAGTGACACAATATGAGGTTAGGTGACAGTATGAGGGTAGGTGACACAATATGAGGGCAAATGACACAATATGAGGGCAGGTGACAGTATGAGGGTAGGTGACACAATATGAGGGCAGGTGACACAACAATTGGCTTCACAATTTTACCCATGTGGGGATTTGAACTCAGTCTTCATTGTGATGAGTGAACATTTTAACCATATGATTACTCCACCACCCCATTCTATATGGATTATACCTTCTTACCTGGTGTTTGCCCTGCAAGAGCGTCATTGCTTTGGTCGGATCCACTCGTCCGGCTGAGTTGTAAAGTCGGTCCTCATTGGGCCAAGGCAAGTAGGAATAGACATCTGTGCAACAACAAGGTAAGATGAGAGAGGGCATACATCTTAATACATATACACCATCATTAGCATCCTTCTTAACCTGTTCATTGCAAGATACACGTTTTGCATCAAGTGCATGAATAGTGAGGGAGTATGATTTTACGCCACTTAATATTCCAGCATGGGCTTCACACTCATTGTACCCATGTGTGGATTCGAACCTGGGTCTTCGAAGTGATGAGCGAACACTTTAACCACTAGGCTACCCCACTACCTCTGTGCATGATAAGACAGTATTGATTTTATATTTATACCATAAACATCCAGCATTTTGTGCTGGCGATTAGGTGCCTCACTCTGGAAGTGTGGGTTCGAATCCCGGGAGGGATTCAAACCAAATAAGTACAAGAATCTGTACTTTACAAAGAAAGTGTTATCCCAAATATAACATTTGACCACTTTCTTAATGGCATTGTGTTCATAATCTATGATATTTCCAATTACTCAATTGATAGAAATCTTACATATGACAGTTTCCACTTTGCAGTTGCTGATCTGGGAGTCACTAATCTTATCTTGAACATGGTTGACAATCTTCCCTAAAAGATAACCTTCCTGAAAAAACAAACAACAGTACATGTGTTTATTCTCTCTATATTGCATGCATAGCATATGCCATTTGAACAAACATTTGGCAGGGTTACGGAATTCAAAGTCAAGAAACAAGAAACCACCCCACCACACAAAATAGTTAAAATAGTCATGGGGTCAGAGGAAAAGGTTACCATGGTTACTTGGGCTTAAAGACAAGGCCACTGGGATAATCAGAACAAGGAAGAGTTTGATGCAATGGCTTACAAAATGCCTTTTCTTATCACAGTATCAAAATATTTTCGTGTACATTCTAAGTGGTTGTCCCTTTAAACCTCTAAAATAATATTATCAGCTAATGTGTGCATGTTTTCATAAGAAGAATTAATGAAAGCATTGTGCTTTGGATAATAAACATAAATACCACTGTCAAGTTTTGCAATGCTTTGTTTGTTTGTTGTTTAATGCTGCACTGCGCAATGTTCCAGCTATTTGACGGCAGTCTGTTATTAATCAAATCTGGACCAGACAATCCAGTGATTGACATCATGAGCGTCAATCTACGCAATTGGGATATGATGACATGCATCAACCAAGTCAGGGAGCCTGATCAGCCGATCCTGTTAGTTGCCTTGCTATGACAAAGATGAGGTGAGGAGAAATTGGGTTTAACGTCGCGTCCAAGATTATTGCACTTATATAGCGACATGCATGCACGTGTATGTGTGTGTGTGGCTGCTTGTACTAGTCCGGACTGATGCCGATTTATAGTGCTAGCTCACTGAGATACCATGCCGCAGTTTAACATGAATACCCAACTCAGACACAGTATACTGACTCCAAGCCGACCAGTCCTTGTTTTAGCCCCTTAATGTCGAGCGCCAGACAGGGTAACAACAAGTACCATCTTTTAACGTCTTTTGGTATGACGCGGCCGGGGATCAAACCCCGGACCTTCCGCTCTCCGGGCGGACGCTCTACCACAAGACCACCGAGGCGGCACATGACAAAGATGAGTTGCTGAAGACCAATTCTAATCCGGATCTTCATAATGCAATACTAATGGACATGCAATGAACATTTTCTCAAACCCTACTTTCTGTAATCTCGAAATTAATTGGTAGTTTTCTTTATAAGCCAGACACCATTTTCACTAAGACCCGATTCAGTAATGCCAAAAAAGTCTGAAAACTCTTAACTGAAACACAATGACATTTGCCGGGCAACCGTTAAAAATAACAAATTATGAATCTGAGTACACATATTCAGTGAAACAGGCAATAATCTATATTATTCGATATTCAAATGCAGTAATTGTACATCATAAAGCTCTGAAAAGCAATGTACTTGCAATGTTAGACACAGACACTAGTCTGTTAGTCCCGAGACTAGTGAACATCTGGAAGCAATTACTTGTTTTACCCATAATCAAAAATGTTATTAGTCAACATTGAAATGTGGAATATTTGGCATTTGACTTCAGGGTTAGCAATTGGCACTAGTCCTATAGTCCTTGCCAAAGTGCCCAATAGTAAAGGTATCCTAAAGACTAGTAGAATTTTGCCATTTTTAAAGGTTTTGCTATATGCTATCATTATAAGGACTAGTGGACTGAAACTGTTAGTTTCTACCGCTGGTCGATGGTGGCTACCCCTGACCATTTATTTTACTATTATAGGATGCAGCCATGTGTGAACCATGTTATTTGATTTATTATATGGTTTAGAACACACTGGCGTTCCATAAAGTATGATCTGATCAATGTTTTATCAGATACGATGACTCAGTGTCACACCTCCCGTAATATTGACGACATACAGGTCTTCAGCTTAACAAAATACGTAGTTTCATAGAGAAAGTAATAAACTAGTATTAACTATTATTCCAGTGTGTTGTTGACCTGTGGCCTGTATGGAATATAAACTGCATGTCATCACCATGATTCACATTATTTCAGTTCTAAATATAGGATAACTTACATCTACATTTCTACTTTGCTAAACACATTGAAATTACAGAAAAATCGGCATTACGAGTATGTTTACTTAATGGATACATTACTACTGGTGGTGTGCAGTATTATAAAACGGAAGTCATGTTCATACTTGATCCCCGGGACTGTTTATTTGATCGTAGAAGAGGGAAGACAAAACAGTCCCACTGACACTCGCCGCCATTTTCCCCCCGACTGATTCTACTTCCGGTTTCATTGCATTAGCCAGTCAGAACTTCGACAGCTGCACATACATATCTCCGAGTGTATGCTCCGATTTAAAGTCGGGCGTAGTTGTCCGAGAGGATCCGAATGTATTACCGAGTGCCTTTCTGTTTACAGGAAGTAAAAGTGACGTACTTCTATCAATGTCAACACTAATATGAAATGCTTGATATTTGCTGGAATTATCTTGTACGCAGAAGCCGTAATAGTTTCTATGTTTCATACGTCCACATGACAATCACATAGAATCTGCTTTTTACATCAAACGTATATGCAATCAAAGTTAGGAATCAAAGATGAGAATCGTGCTGTATCGTCCAACAGAAGCACCAACACCCAATAAACCCAAGCATGTCCTAAATCGGTATAAGGTGAAATGTATTGGTTATAGTATTAAACCAAGACCTATTCACGTTTGAACTGAAATCCAGCTTTCACAATGAATAGATAGTTAATTTGGCACTGGACACAAACTCTATCCTCGGTTGAAATGTATGCCAGGGAAACGCAAGACCTAAAATTTAAATAGCAAACGTTGCCTGCCATATATACATAGTTTTATGAAAACTATTAATTCGTTTATTAGTTCCGGAAACGAACCAAAACAACATTTGAAAGAAGTCTAATCTGTTTTCACCTTGAAAACGCACAATCTAAAAATTAATTATAACAAAAAAACACTAGTTGGGTAATTGTCTTATTTTTTTAATGCAAAGTTAATTATGTAACAGCTTCTGAATTAAGCACTACTCTCATTGAACATATCCTCGACGTTATGTCTTGGAAACGCAAACAATATTATGTATATTTTTAAAATATATAACAAAAGGTACAAGCTCAGCACTTGCCTAATGTGTAAACACAGATGAAAACAATTGTGATGCTCCTGAATTGATCCCACGATTCAGTCCGATTTTCTGTAAAGGAAACGCAAAATAACCTAAACAGCAAAAGGTTCTTTCAGCACTTTAATTGTGTGAATTTAAAGTAACATGTTATATGCTCCACAAAACTCTACCCTATACAGCTGCCGTAATTCTTATAATAAACGCCGGTCAAACCAACGCAATGAAGAGACACCGAGGAGGAACTTTTGAAACAAGAAAAAACAAACAAACAAAAAGTTGATTCAAAATAAGGCCAAGAATAAACGTCAGGCCGAAATAAATACCGGAACGACACTTGTTTGAGTCCCGTATGCTGCCTTGACAAGGCAAACGAAACAACATAGGAACCCCTTGATGTGAGACTTTAATACGGCGCCAAAACTCCCTCTGTGTGACACAAACACAAGGGTGACAATGTCGCAGATAACAACATTTACACGACAATATGTCCTAGATATGTTGGAGACCGCCTCCGTGGTCTTGTGGTAGAGCGTCCGCCCGGAGAGCTAAAACAAGGACTGGTCGGCTCGGAGTCAGTATACTGTGTCTGAGTGGGGTATTCATGTTAAACTGCGGCATGGTATCTCAGTGAGCTAGCACTATAAATCGGCATCAGTCCGGACTAGTACAAGCAGCCACACACACACATACACGTGCATGCACGTCGCTATATAAGTGCAATAATCTTGGACGCAACGTTAAACCCAATTTCACCTCACCTCACCTAGATATGTTGGAAGCTGTTGAACATTTGAAGAACGTAAACTCGACAAATAATTGTGTTTTCAATAGTCACTGAAGCGTACGTACAATATCTTAAAAAATGATGCGCGATGCAATTCCCTTTAAATCTTGACTTGTGCCTATGGTCCCGTGTTTTTTCAGGTGAACAATTGACTTGTCTTTGCATGTGTTTGTGACGGTGCCACCGGTGGGACAGGATACGCTCACCTTTTCGCGAACACCTGGTATCATCACTATTTGACATTGATTCATAACAACATGTTCATGATACAGCCGGAATCGTACAATCGACTCTGCTTTTAGCAGAGGTTTGTATTGGATATGGAAAGGGTTTTGTCGCTTTTATTAGCAAGACGTTACTGGTAGGAAAACAATGTCTCATAGAAATACATTAATTCAAGGCGACTCTAAAATATAGATATTTTTCATAAATATTATACTTATAAGGACACATTTCACGCTAAACGAAATATTAAAACATGATTTCGAAACTGTTTGAATAAAGCACCACGATATAGCTTCACCCGACCAGTGCTTGGTTTCTGAACCCTTGATTTTGTCCAGTGACGCAAGATAAGCTCATGCAACCTGGGCCATGTCAGCCACGTATTAAACCCCCGCTGTACAGCACGTGTCACAGGCGGATCCAGGATCTTGAAAAAAGGGAGTGGGTCTGCACGAGAGCACGGTGAATGTATGGATGTTAACTTCTTTATTATGAGGAACACAACGTTTCGGAGTATATACTTACTTCTTCATCAGTAATGTTGCATGAATACTGTGACGTAGAGGACATATATATGTACACGTAAGAACAAAAGTAATAAGATAACAAAGGTGGAAACTTAACAAGGGAAGCCAAGAGTTTATTGGCGCTGATAGGTGATTAGTAATGGACAAATGGAAGCAAACACTTAACAGTAAATCAGCGGTGATGATTTGTTTGTTTGTTTGTTTGTTGTTTAACACCGCACTCAATATTCCAGCTATATGGCGGCGGTCTGTAAATAATCGAGTCTGGACCAGACAATCCACCATGAGCGGTGATCAAAGACTTCCTGTTAAATATGAAAATAGGGTGGGAGAGTAGGATCCTCTCTGGATCCGCCATTTCTGGATCCGCCAGTTAGTTATGAACAGGACCTTGTACTGAAGATAAGCAATGACATGTATTACTGCACCCGGATTCTTGTCATACTTTATACTAATCAGGATATTATCAAACAGTACTTGGCGGCGTTCGAAGGGTGGTTAAACTGTTGCTGACCGGTGGAAGATAGCCTTGCTCCAAGACTATACTGAAAGAAAAGTCCATGTATGTGTGGGGCGGTCGGGTAGCCTAGTGGCTAAAGCATTCGCTCGTCATGCAAAAGACCCGGGTTCGATTTCCCGACATGGGTACAATGTGTGAAGCCCATTTCTATGTCCCCCACCATGATATTGCTGGAATATTGCTAAAAGCGGCGTAAAACTATACTCACTCACTCACTCACCATGTATGTGTAGTAATTCTATCTTCCTGATGCAAGTCTAGATATGTGGTTAGTAGACCCAGAGACCATATAATAGATTATCTATTATATGGTCTCTGGTAGACCCTAGTCTCTTATATGGACAACTTGTTCTCATTATTTACATAATCTAGAAATTATGATTTGAACTAATAATTATGACCTTACAGACTTGTGCAAGTCTAGGTGGCACACAGTACGCTTGTCTACGTGCGGGCCAGTGTGTTCTGTGATCGGAGGAAGTGTGTCAGCGTGCGATGTATCACACGCACAGCCATACGTGTTGTAATACGCTTTGATAAAAGGCAGTATTTTGGAGAATTGACGACGTGTAATGTACGGGATGTGGTATCTACGCCATGAACAATCCCTAAATGTTGTGTGAGAACGAGGTTAACCTATTTGGACATATGCGTGTAAAATATTCTCAAAGCAGATTGGTCAGTTGAAGCATTTTGACGTCATATTGCTACACTGAAGTAAGACGAGTTCTATGGATGAACAACTTCTTTATTACAATTAGTGCGACGTTTATGGATGAACAACTTCTTTATTACAATTAGTGCGACGTTTCGGTGTAGATCCTAACACCTTAATCAAGCGATTATCATCACTCGCTTGATTAAGGTGTTAGGATCTACACCGAAACGTCGCACTAATTGTAATAAAGAAGTTGTTCATCCATAGAACTCGTCTTACTTCATCACTCCAACTTCTAAATGCCACTCAAAGAAGTTATATTGCTACACTGTTCAGAATACATTCGTGACCAACTCGTGTTATTCCGGTTACGGAAAGGGGCGAGTGGTGACGAATGTTCAGAATATTGACATGTGAAATTTATATCCATTGTTCTCGACGTCACTTTTATTCCAAATAATATCGCCCTTTTAAACAAGTCTTACGTTATTATATACAGGTTAATGTTTATGTTACCCAGTACTTATTAAAGTCTTTGTGATCTTCTTTTATTTAATTATAACTCTTAATTGTTTTGTAATTAATGTTCCTATCTTACTTCTTTATGTGTACTTTATGCTTTTGATTAATTATAATATTTATCACAGTACACCATATTCTAATGGCTTTTGCAACAGAGGAAATCAACTCGTTTACATGGAAGAAACACACATTCCTCGAGGAGAGAGACAGGCAGACGCTACTCGGTTCTGCATGGATGCCCTACTCACGGGTGGCGCCCAAAAAAGTGTTCAATTAGCTGCAGCCTCAACAATCGTAATGAACAGTGAATGTAGGCCTTCTCTAAGACTGACGTTAATTTACATTCGTGTCTTGATATGAAAAGAAATCCTCATGTATAAAGCTGCTTATGAATTAATTGGGGCGGCGGGGTAGCCTTGAGGTTTAAGCGTTCGCTTGACACACCAAAGGCCCGGGTTCGATTCCCCACATGGGTACAATGTGTGAAGCCCCTTTATGGTGTCCCCCGTCGTGATATTGCTGGAATATTGCTAAAAGCGGCATAAAACCATACTCACTCACTTATGAATTAATTATTTCTTCTGAACAAAGTAGCAGTTTATGCAGTAATATCCATCAGCAGAGGAAACGAATATACGCTGCCAGCTAAAAAAAAACGCAATTTCTATTTCATTCACAAATAAATATTTTGTTGTTTTTCTCACAACTCTTAAGCCCAGGGTAATCCCTGGGTCAAGCTTAGGTTGCAAAATGTTCAGTCTGCGCACGTCATTATTAATAAAATCGACGCAGTTGCATTTCCTTCCCCCGTCAGTATATGTGTGTTTTCGTTCAACAAGCTTATTGTTGCATCACTATCACGGTATACATACCTGAAACAGGCCTGACGTGTGTCT